AGGAGACCCGAGTTCAAATCCCAGCATCCACATGGTGGCTAACAGCCATCCGTAACTCCAGTTCCAGGGGATCTGATGTCCTCTTCTGTCTTCCATGGGCATTGCATGACACAAGTGCACTTACACACATGCAGGCACTACACTCATACACATAGAATTAAAAATTGAAAAAAATAAAAATATTGGTTTATACTGAGTTCAATATTGTATAACTGTATTAATTCAACTGTGAACCTAAAAATTTTATAGGCACTTTTGAAAGAGATGTATCTTTGCTCTGGAAATTGTTATTGAGTAAGTTAAAGCTGTAATGAAATGCTTCTTCTAAAAAATAAAAAATAATAAAAGAATAAAAATGAAATAAAGCACAAAAATTAACATATCAGAAAGTGTACCCTTTGTGGAAAGTGAACACAGGGCCGAGTGAACTGTTTGGAGACTGACGTTAAGTGTCAGGTGTCAAGAGGACAGGGCTTTCTGTTGATTGCGAAGATACTATAAGTCTATACTATAAGCCTTTATACTAGAGCATGATATTTAAATTAGGAAAGATGTCTTGTAAGAAATCTGAGCTGTAGATTCAATGACTTTTTTTTAAAAAGGTTTTTTTGGGGGGAGGGATGTCCTTTTGAGACAGGATCTCCCTGTAGCCCCAGCTGGCCTGGAACTCGCTTATGGAGACCAGGCTGGCGTTGATCTTTGGGAAATTGTCTGCCTCTGCCTCCCAAGTGCTGGGGTTAAAAGAGTTAAAGTATCTTTTCTCCTTTTTAGTAGTGTGAATATTTCATAAGCTTGAGCCTTATGATTGAAAATAGAATGTAAACAGAAACAGCACTTACTCTAAGGCCGAGAGTCGGTGAGGTGTGTGCGTGCGCCATGTGCACTCCTGTGTGTTTATGTGAATGTGTGCATGCTGTGGTGCACGTGTGGAGGTCTGGGCATAACCTGAGGTGTCAGTCATTGCCGTCTACCTTGTTTAGGACAAGGCCTATTCATTTGTTTGCTGCTATATATACAAGGTTACCTTCAGAGAGCCTCCCGTCTCTGCTTCCCAGCTCACTCTAGAGATGCTGGGGTTAGGGACGCATCCTGCCGTGTTCAGCTTTGCATGTGTGCTGGGGATCTGAACTTGGGTCTTCACGCTTGTGTGGAATGTGCTGTCCTTGTCGATCTGTCTCACCAGCCCGGGAGTTCTTGTTCTAATGAAGCACGTTGCAGACAGCCAGGAAGAGACAGCCTTCAGTTGTGTGCGCATACATGACGATAGAGTTGATACACACAAAAGTAAACATACGATCCATCAGCTTTTGAGGCTCTAAGAAACCAGATGATTTGATTTTTGTTTTGTATAGACTGAGTTTTATAATTTATTTTTATTTGCTGTAGTATTACAACAACCTGGAACATACCTTTAATTTAGAGTGTCTCTTGAGATTGTCTAATTGTATCAGAAGCTCAAATGTTTTTGCTTCACAGTTTCCAAATGCATTTTCATGGTCAGGATTTCATTTAGTCTTACACTTGACTTCCTACTTTAGAAGATGTGAAAAGTGTCTTAAAATTTACCTTCCTTCAATGTATTATATTTTATATATGCAAAATGGTATTGCCTTCAACATTGATGGGATTTTAAACTGTTTCTAATGAGGTAGAAAACTGAGAATAAATAGTTTTTGGTGCTGTTCCAGGGAATGTTTCACTGCATGGACTAAGGCATTGGGTGGCAGAATATGCTAGGTGTTAATGTATTGAGTTCATCTGGTCACCTTCAGCAATTTGTAGGGCAGTGTCCTAGTTTGTTTCTCCATTGCTGTAACAAAACACTCTGACCAATACCAACTTGGGGAGGAAAGGGTTTCTTTGTCTTACAGCTCCTGGGTTTATCAGGGAGCCCAAGGTAGGAACTCAGGTCAGGAACCTGGAGGCAGGAACTGGAGCACAGGCCATGGAGGATCACTGCTTACTAACGTGCTCCTCAGCCCCTGCTCAGCCTGCTTTCTTATGGCAGCACAGGCCCACCTGCCCAAGGGTGGTACCACCCACAGTGGGCTGGGCCCTCCCACATCATGCAACAGTCAAGAAGATGCCCCACAGATATGGCCACAGGCCAGTCCTATGGAGGAAATTCCCCAATTGAGGCTCCCTCAGCCCAGGTGTGTCAAGTTGACACCAAAGCTATCCAGCACAGGCAGGATATGCTCAAAGATGGAGTCTGATTTTCTGAAAGACAGATCTAGGCAATGTGGATTTAGCTTTTAAATTAACAGGTATCAAATGAATGTTTACACTGTGTCTTAGTTTCTTTTCTGTTGCTGTGATAAAACGCTGTGACCAAGGAAACTTATAAAAGGAAGAGTTCATTTAGCTTATGGTTCCAGAGGGGCAAGAGTCCATCGTGGTTGGGAGGCTTGGGGCAGAGGTGGCTGGAGCAGGAGCAGAAGCTAAGTGCCCACATCTTCAAGCAGGCACAGGAAGCAGAGAAGGACGGGGGTCTGGCAAGGCTTAAGACCTCTCTAAGCCCGCCCCCAGTGACGTGCTTCCTCCAGCATGGCCACACCTTCTAAGACCTCCCAAAACAGCCCCACCAACTGGGGACAAAATGTTCAACTGCTTGGTGCCTATGGGGGACATTCTCATTCAAACCACACACTGTTTCAGATTTTCTGCTTTTTTGTTTTTATTTCATTCGTTCATTCATTCGTTCATTCATTCATTCATTATTTTTGAGGCAGGGTCTCCCTGTAGTCCCATTCGTCCCGGAACTCACTATGTAGACCAGGTTAGCTTGATCTCACAGGAATCCACCTGCCTTTGCCTCCCAAGTACTGGGATTGTTTGTTTCAGACTTGGTGATGATGAAGCCACGTGTCGCAGGACATACCTGTAGTCCAAGGCCATTTGGGAGGTGGAGGTAGAGTCATTTGAGCCCAGGAGTTTGAGACAGTGTGGGTACCACTGCAAGGTCACCTCTCCTATAGATGTTTTAGATTAGCTAGGGCTGCTGCCTCAAACTTCTGCCAACTGTGTGGCCAAAACAAGCCTGTTCTCAGGATCCTGCAGGGGCCGTTAGAGTTGATATCTTCTGAGGCCTCTGTGTGCTTACATCCCTGGTGTGTTTCTTACAAGGGCACCAAGCAAATAAAACTCAAATGGCCTTATTTGAACTTAGACCTTAAGACCTGTCTCCAGTCACATTGTGAGGTGGCTCATTCCTTGTGCAAGCAGGCACAGAGTTGTTACTAGTTATCACACTGAGTTTGTAGTTAAAAGGTTGTAACCATGTTAAAAAGAACGTGGTTGGTTGTTGGCAGTGTGTCTTGGCCCCACAGACGGATGGAGTGCCTCATGTGGCCCAGTGAGCCCTGTAGCCACAGATGAATGATGACAGCCCTCAGGATTGAGAAGCCCCACCCCTAGTCAGGACGGTGCCCTCAGATGTCAGTCTTGCCACATCTGTGAAAGGAGGAAGATGATCCTGAAGAGGGAAAGCCATGGTGTATTTGATCCCGTTCTCCTGTGCCTGATATTTAGAAAGTACTCTCTTAAGTGGAAATACCCTCACCTGTTTTCCTTAACGTTTAAATTAATGGGAAGTTGTGTACACAACGTAGTAGTACCATAGTACTGATGATTGATACAGACTTGGAAAGATCTGAATTTGAGGCTTGGATCCTCCTTGCATTGTGTGTGGACAGAGCCTGTGAGCTGCCCACACTTCACACCCTTTGCCTACTTGCATTGCACACTCATCTGACCTTCCTTGTCGAGGGAGCAGGCCAGAGATGCTGCTCTCTATGAGCCGTGATGGCTGTGCTGTGGTTCCCCTCATGCCAGGTCATGCTCACCTCCACATCCACCTCTGCGAATGTGGTAGAGAAGGGCCGTGCATCAGGAGACGCCTGCAAGGGCAGATCATCAGTACAGGCCCATGTGTCAGGTGCCCTCTATTCTGAGCAGGTGCCAGAATTTATGTTTAAAATGGCCAAGGCCGGGTATGGTGGTACATGCCTTTAATCCCAGCACCTGGGAGGCAGAGGCAGGTGAATCTCTGTAAGTTCAAGGCTACACTGGTCTGCACAGCAAGCTCCAGGACAGCTGTCCTGGAACCTGAGAACCTGTCTCAGAAAATAAAATAAAATGATCACTATTGTATAGGCCAAATCCAGCCCACTATCTCCCTTGAAAAAGACCCAAAGCAAAGGCCTTTTTTCCCCTTCTCATTTTAAAAAGAAAGATGTGGTTAGGGCAAGAAAAGGAAGGCCAATATTTAACACAGAGTAATTACTGTGAAATATGAATTACAGTGTCCACAAATAAAGTTTTATTGGCAGCAGCCACATTGGCTTGTTTGCATTTTACTGCTTTTTCGCCATAGGGCAGCTCTGAGTAGTTTTAACAGCCTGTGTGACTGGCGCACCACAGCTGTTTACTGTCTGTCCTTTATAGAAACGTTTACTGACCTCTTCCTGAAATTTTGTCTGTGATGTGAGAATGGATATGTATAATTATATATACTTAGGTCATGTCTCAGTGTCCGTCCCGTGTTCAGGGTTGAAGTCTGTCCAGTAAGACTGAGGGAATAGTGTTCTAGGAAGCAGAAGTATGCAGATACTTGAGACTTGAACATCATTTTATTAGATGTTGACAAGCATAAAGTAGATCCTGCCAGACATGTAGAGATCATAGACAAAACCCCTGCACAGCACTCCAAAATCATTCCTTTTCTCTGTAATTCATGTTCTTGTATGGGAAACAAATTCCGTATTCCATATAACGCTGAGGCCTTTGTGAGTCTTTGCCTTTGTGCTCGCATGTTACATGTTACCTTGTGGAAAGATGGCACCTGCTGGACTTGCTTGTGTAACGTTTACTGTGATAGTGACACTAAGACTGCTTGTTAGGCAGTGTAGAGCCCTCGTTTCACGTCCTTTACGAACATCAGTCGTCTGTTGGCAGCACTATTTGCATCTTGTTCACTGACCTTCTCTCTTCTGTTTCAGGGCCGTGTCCTGCGCTGTGGCCTCATGGTGTAAGTGGGAAAGATGAGCATAAGCAGCGATGAGGTCAACTTCTTGGTTTACAGGTACCTGCAGGAGTCGGGTGAGTACCCTCGCCCTGTTTCCGGAGGGACTTCACACAGCTGAAATGTGCACCAGTCCGAACTGTTTCCTCAGTGGCTGGATGGCCACGGGAAGGCTGTGTTTGCTGCGTGGACTCACTGACTCTTTCAGATGTGTTGGGATCATCACAGCCGTGTAATCTTAACAAGCATGTTGTTCTTTACCATCTAGAGGCCATTTTTATGATTTATCATGAAGTGACATTGTTGTGCACATTTAGTAAGATCATAAAAACTCTGAAGAACCCGGTTCGGCAGCTTGATAATGTATAGCCTGTGTGTGTGTGTGTGTGTGTGTGTGTGATTACAGATAGCATTTTAAAAGGTAAATTAACGGTATTTTTTCAGAATGCTTTCATAAGTATCTTCTCAATTGAGTAAATGTGCTCTAATCAGAATTCAGATGTATATATTGGATGGGATTTGGAACATGGATCATTGAAAGTGATTTTCAATTAATATTGAGCAAATTAGTGACCAAGTTTTCTAGATAAGAGGGCTCATCATGAAATGGGAGGAGGCCGGAACAGACAGAAGATGTGAAAGTTGAAATGGGAAACTTGGGTATGAGGGCCATGGGGCGGTGGCATGTTATTAAAATGACGTGGGAGCACTTCACCTGCCAGTCCAGAGAGTAATCAAATTTTAGGTATTATCCCTCTCAGATATAGTACTGTTTTTGTAGCGTACTGAGGTAGTGGCATGTAAGGGAAGACAGAATGGCAGGAGACAGGTGATGATTGCAGGATACTGGACCCTCAGTCTGCAGTTCTGAGATGAGTGATCTTGTTAGCTCACTGTCCTTCCTCCACAGTAGGCCTGGTCCCCAGGATCCACCACAGTAGACTTCATGCCTGTAGATCTGGACACATGCCCTGCGTTCAGAGAGCTCTTCCTTGGTTCTGACATCTAATGACACAGAATGTGTCCTCTCTGTACCTGTGGCATCATTTTCAGGGGTACTTGTTAGAGTCAGTTATTAAATATTTAAGCAATGTGATAGAAATTGCTTTTGAGTCATGACTGTTTCTCTTGAAAGATTTAGCACAGCACGAAGGGAGCCAGGCTGGATCCAGGGTGGGTGGGGAGGTGCTCATGACAGGGAGCTGGGGCAGGGCTTTTGACCAAGCTTTCAGGAGGTTTCTAGTCTGATGAATATGTGACTTACAAAGAATAGTTTTCAGGGGCTGGAGAGATGGCTCAGTGGTTAAGAACACTAGCTGTTCTTGCAGAAGACCTGGGTTTGAATCCCAGCACCCACATGGCAGCTAACAGCTGTCCATAACAGCCTCTTCTGTCCTCCGTGGGCATTGCATGACACGGGTGCACTTTACCTACATGCAGGCAATACATGCATACATATAAAAATAATAATAATAAAGTAGTTTTCAGTAAGAACTTTTAACATGTGTTCTTTGCAAACCATGTTCAGGGTTGACCAGACTGTGGTGTCCATCCAGAGGGAATGAAATTAGTCTCCCCCAGATTCATACCTTTTCAGAGACAGGATTACATCATGATATTATGCCTCAGTGTTTGATGGACTTGTCTGTTTTGGAGGCCTCCCTGATGTGCTAGAATTAACAGAAGAGTCTGTATTATTGGGTTTTCCAGCACTGTGACTTCACTTTCACAAGTCCTGGCCTAGGAGAGTTCACCCCAAGTAGATTGCTTTGGTTCTCACCAGTCCGCATTCTAGGAAGTGGGCCCAGATTCAGCACAAGGAACCTAGGGGATAAAGGGAAAGAAGGAGCTCAAGAGAGGTAGGACCACCGGAGATGGGTATTAGTAAGGGAGAAAGGGGAAAAATGGGGGCACCTTAATTGAGGAAACCATGATGGAGGGGTTAGACAGTGCAAGAGATAAATAATGCCTAGCTGGTTTTAAAAACCAGAGGGAACCATATTAGTCCAACAACCTACTGAAAAATTATACATAGCAGATCAAGAAATGTATGTCTAGGTAAGGTTTATCTGAGAACAATTGGTCTTTGCCCAAGATTTATCTACATGATACATAGTAATTAAAAGTACCAGACTGATGGAACTGACCTTCTTGGATATTTAACAGACATACTTTGAGGCCTGTAATAATTTGGTCAGAGGGACATAAAGGACAGTTTTTGCTCCTTGCCCTCCTAGATCGACTAGTTCCAGGGGACTATGAGCATCTCTCAAAATGTCCTGTAACTGTGGTGAGTTACCTGTCCTCTTGATCAAGAAGGCTGTGGAGACCCCACGGGATGGACTTGGACCTGTGTCCAGTCTACAAAGAGGAGGGTCAACACAGAGGAAGCATTTCCTCCATGCTTCCAAGCAAAGCCAGCCATGGTCAGCAAATACTTCTTAATCAATATTTTTCCCCCCTTTTTGAGATGTCTTGAAAATTCAGGGTATCTGGCCTACATGTGTAAGGAAGGATTAACTTGAACCACTGTGTTCCCCTACCCATCTTAATTAGTGTTTGCCCAAGGGTGTGAACTTGCTTGCTCTATTAACTCACTTGACTACCTGTGCTGTGGTACTCAGTGGCCCAAGCTAAGTCATGTAATTGAAGCCCATGCAGTATTAATTAAAGGAGCTAAGCCAGTTTGGACCTGTGAAACCTCCCATTTTCCCACCAGCCCCACCCACCTGCATTACCTTGACTCTAGTTTTTCAGTTTTATTTGTTCAGTCTGGGGTGGGGAGTAAAGAAAATTTTCCTGGTAATTTCTTGTGAATTTTCTGATATTTGTTTTTCTAAGTTGCTTTATATAAGAAGATAAAGTTCTTTGGGGGCGGTTAAGAGCACTGGCTGCTCTTGCAGAGGATTCCGCATAACAGCTAATAGCCATCCATAGCTCTAGTTCCAGGGGATCCAACGCCCTCTTCGGGCCTTCACAGGCATTGCACAGCACAGGTGCACTTACACGCAGGCAATACACTCGTACACATAAAATAAGGATGATAAAATCTTTTCAGAAAAGTAATTCCGTTTTGCTTACATTTTGTATTTGGTTGGAGAATTCTTCACTAGGTTTAACTACTAACCTCACATGTTTTAGAGATTCATAACTTCACTGTTGATGTTGAAGTTGGCTCTCAAAAGCCTTAGCACAGGTGCATCTTCGGATTGGTAGAGTAAATGGAAACTGCGAAATCAAATGCACTTATTACTACTAAAGCCAGTAAGGTACTAGGTTCTGATTTTGAATACTCAAAAGGAGAGTGCCTCATGTCTTTAGAGCTGGGGTTCATCTTGAAGACTGTCCCTGTCTCATCACTCCAGTACCCCACCTGCTTCCCTCTCCTAACTTCTGCAAGAGACATCCTGCCTTAGGAATCCAGGCTGAGCACCACACCACATCCAGTGCATATTCAAATGCTGTAGAGCAGGAGCATCTCTAATCCAAAAATCTGAAATCCAAAGAGCTGCAAAGCCAGTATCATGGAGTATTCAATTTAATGCAAGTGGGAAATTCCTCACCTGACTTTGTATGACAGGTCTCAGTTGAAATTCACACGCTGAACTGTGATGTGGCATCACCTTTGGGGTGTGTGTAGCAGGTGCATAAGCACTGTGAGGGGTCCCATCCCCCAGCTGGAGGTCTCATTTGTTAGTTTTCCAACATTCCAGAATTTGAAGTTGGGAGTGCATCTGCCATTTCAGGCACAGGGTGCTTGACCTGTGTTTTAGTTACAGGATCACGCGTCAAAACCTTGTATTGTTTTTAATTTAGAAAACATGATCACAGTGGACACAGAAGAAGCTCATGTTTAACTTTAAGGCTCTTTTCTCCCTGCTGACAGTTGTCACCCTCCATAGTGTTAATGAACTGCCAGTAAGTAAATGACAGTGCACTTTCTGTGAACTTAACCTACCAGGGTGGGTAGCCTTCCTCCACATACCCAGCCTCACAGCCAGGGCCATCTGTAAACACTGTAGCAATGGATTGGATGGAGTCAGGTTAAGCTGACCATCAGTAATGTACCTCTGGCTATGAGGAACAGGGAACCCGGGCTCTGCTGCGTCTGCCTCGTTTCTGTGTGCATCCATGGGAAGGTGACTTGCTACGGAGGTGTAGGCCAGAGGGTCCGTCACCTGACATCATAACTTCACTCTGACCATAAGCACCCGTTGCCATAAATGGTGGTTATTAAAGGACTTTCACACTTAAAAATCAGCTTCTTTTTTAAATAAGGAAAATGATCATCTTTATGGACACAGAACATTTCTATTACACGTTTCTAGTGGCAACACTCTTTTTTTGTCTTTTTTTTTTTTTTTTTTTTTTTTTTTTTTGAGACATGGTCTCCCAGCTGGCCTGGAACTGTGTAGACTAGGCTGACTTTGAACTCACAGAGATCCACCTGCCTCTACCTCCCAAGTGCTGGGACTAAAGGCATGTGCCACCACACACCTTAGTGACAACACTTTACAAGACAACAGTCAGAGAACTTGCTTGGCCTTAATTCGTAATTTTACTGGCTTTCCTCTCATTGGCTGGTGCAGCAGAAACACAAGGAAGCATGTACATGTTGCCCGTGGCTTGATGTGGTGTTCGTGAGAGGTTTTCGGAAAGCTGTGTAACAGTCCCAAAGAGCTCCTTTTAGATGCTCTGCCCCCTTAGCTTGGAGGAAGCTTTCCTATGGAAGAGAAGGAAACTCCACTAGCCATGTCTATAGATAGTGAGGTGGAGTCTTCAGATGAGCACCAGGGGTTGGGCTGTGGCATGCGTAGCTCTCTGGCTAGGTGTCTCCATTCTGTTTAAACTAGTTAGTAGGTTTTGTTTTTGCTTGTTTGGGGGTGTTGAGAGTGCTAGAGATCAAACACATGTGGCCTTGTGCACAGGAGACATGCTCTACACTAGTCCTGTATTTCATTTATTTTTTATTTATTTAGTTTTTGGTTTTTTTGAGATGGGGTCTCTCTATAGCCCCTGATGGTTTGGAACTTGCTCTGTAGATCAAGCTGACTTCAATCTCAAAGAGATCTGCCTGCCTCTGCCTCCCGAGTGCTGGGATTAAAGGCGTGCACCACCACCCCAGCTGTGTATCTTTTTTTTTTTAATATTTTATTATTTTTATTTTGTGTGTATGAGTGTATTGCCTGCATGTATATAAGTGCACCCGTGTCGTGCAGTGCCACGGAGATCAGAAGAGGGTGTCGGATTTCCCTGGAACTGGAGTTAAGGACGGTTCGTAGCCGCCATGTGGGTGCTGAGAATCGAACCCGGGTCCTCTGCAAGAGCAGTCAGTGCTCTTAACCACTAAGTCATCTCCCCAGCCCTGTGTATCTTATTTTTAAAGGCAGTTATTTAGGGCACAAAACTGTATACCTAGTGTGTAGTGCTTTCTCTAGCTCTTCAATACTCAAGATTCCCTGTGGCAAGTCTCCTGCCTTTCCCCTTTTCAAACATCTGGATCTGGAGGGCACAGCTTATTAGACTGGGAGACAAAGGAGTGGGGTGAGGTGAACAGGGATGTGGTATCTGGGCTTTGCTGAAGCTTAAAGAGGATCTTAAATACATCATCCTCATTCCTCTACGAAGACGCTGCTGTGTTCAGTTTAGCTTTGCCTTAATTTTTTTTTTTCAAATTTGTTTATCCACCCTAGACCATACCCACAGCGTTCAGGGGCCGTTTTCTGTTCCCATATCCTGTACTGTGCCAGACCCACTCTTACAGGTGAAGACAAAGACTTTCAATGGACTGGACTTCAGCAGTTCAGAGGTTTAGGCGTTAGGCAATCCCTTTGCCTCCTGTATAAATCTAAAACTGTCCCTGACAGAGGATCTCCTCTGAAGTTTTCTGCAAATATACTTACAAATAAATGGGGGTGGGGGTGGGCACAGACCTGGTTTCAGCTTTAGTTGGGTTTTTTTTTTAAAGGAAGACAAGTCATAGCTGGATATGCCAAAATGTGTTATGTGGAGTTGCAGTCCACTGTAACAGATGTTTACTGAGTTACTTGTTCGTCAGCTGACCTACTAGAGTCGCAGAATTGGAATGGAGCAGTCCTCAGAGCTTTTCCTCTGCAGCCGTGCCTGGCGGTCAGCCAGGTGTTGCCCCTGCATTTGTGACCTGTGCAGTCAGCTCAGGAGAAGCCGATTAGCCCAGAAGCAGTGGAACAAGCCTTGCCTCTGTTCAGATGGGGGGCCAGAAAGATCCACAGGAGATGCATGGTGAAGGCCGTTTGCCATCACTTAAACTTAGTGTGTGCTGGGAGTTGGGAAGATGGAGCTTGGAGCCAGATTCCAAAAGAGCTACGTGTCCTAGGTTAGGACTTCGTTAGGAGGCCCCAGGAGCTCACTGATGGTGGTAGCCACCAGTCAGATTTAGCCTGGAGGGGCTTAGAGCTGGAGCAGTCTAGGCATGCTGGGAACTGAGCTTGGGTTCTAGAAGACAAGACTGAGTGCAGAGAGTAAGGAGATTGAGGTAGCACGGTAGGATCCTGTGACTGGATGCAAGAGATGAAGCGGGGGCGGGGTTCGTGTAATGGAGTTGGTGGTGTAAGTGGATGAGGCCAGATGAAAGAGAACAGTAGTTCTGTGTGTCGTGATATTGAGCTTACCATGTCCTGTGGCTAGAACTGGAGGAAATTGTTGCTGGCGTTGCATGTCGCCAGCCAGCATGGTCATGGGGACCTTCGCCAGGGTCACCCGGATGAAGAGGGGCCAGAGCAGCCGGGTGGATGTTCCAGGTTATCTCCTAGCTTCCTGAGAACACTCAGCTTTCTCTAGGCCTGACCAATCAAACCCTAGCCTGGCTCAGCACGCCACTGCCAGGATACCCTTGGACAGTCATTGCTTCTAAATAAGGTCTCAAATGTAGCAATTCTGACTAAAGTTGCATTCAAGCAGCATTATAGAAAACAGGGACTTTGTTCAGTGTACAATCTTAGGTGCAGGAAAGCAGTTTCAGAATCTGGTGCTTGGCACAGCTGGTGGCAAGTCCTAGGGTTTCAAACAGTGCTTGCCCCTGTTTAAAGCTCAGACCTCGAGGGCACAGCTGAGCAGTGCCTGACCCCCACACTCCAGATGGAAGAAGTGTGCTCTTACTGCCCTGGCTTTTACCTTGGCCATATTTTGCCTTTAAACAAGGACCAGAAGAGCGTCACGGATGGATTTGAACCCTCACTTTCCCCACCCTTAATTTGTATTACAGTGGAATAAAATCTTGTGTGTGTGGTGTCTAGCACATGCTGTCTGTGGTCATGCCTTCTATCTCAAAGCCTCTGAAGTTTTTAAACCACTTGTCTGCCCCACCTCCACACCCCACTTCTGGTTATTGAACTTATTTAGGGAGTGTCATTGAGTTAAGCAGGACTCTCCAACTTCACTACCTCACTTGAGTCATTTCTCCTCATCTGCCCAGCCTTTGGTTTGACCTTTCTGAGCTGCTGAACTGAACCCCAGCCAGATTCAAGGGATCTTGGGAGTCCTGGAGGGCAATTCAAAGCGGTGCCTGTCTCTTACAGCTGCGTTTGCTGTGGCCATCTTTGTGTGCTTTTATCACAAGCTGGTCTGTTGGTGAGACCAGAAGGTTGAAATCAAGGTCTTAAACATCTGTTCACCCCCTCTGCCCACTGTAGGGTGTTAGATAAGAACAGCTGGAGGAAGCTGTTGAGGGGTCCACTACTGAGCAGTTGCAGAGTTTCCCAGCCCCGGGCTATTTGGGAACTCACTGCTTTTTTAAAAATTTATAAACTGCAATGAAGATAATAACTACCCTGTCAGTTTACTAGAATTTTACTTGTTATTTGAACTACACTTTCATAAAAATAAAAGCTCACATAAAGAGATTTTGTTATGTGAGCTTTGTGGTTTTAAATATTTCAAATTAAACCTTGAAGGAGACATGGAAATTGGATTTTCATTTTGTAGGTCTTTTCCTGAGAGATGGTTTAGGTGGGTTATTATTACTAAGTAGTAAAATTAGTATTTTTTAAAAGCTGTGTGTGCCGTGACCATAAGGAAACAGTCTTAAGTTTTCTGGGAAATTGCTCGTAGGAACTTACAGCAGTGCTGACAGCATGCATAAGACCCATGCAGACTCAATCAGATAAACCCAGCAGAAAACTAAGGGAATGGGCAGCAGGCCCCAGCCTTAGACAAGGTACTTTTCACAGCTGATTACTGCTGGGTGAGGGAGAGTTGATATCCTTTAAGGTACCGAATGTTATTTCATAGTTTGTGTTTTATTTTCTTAGTCTTTTTTAAAAGCCATGAGATATTGAAGGTGTTAGACGAACTGCAGAAGTCGTAAACGCTGGCATACGTGCTTCGGCTTCAGCTTGTCTCCAGTGAAATAGTTGAGCTACATTTCTGAATTCTTCATCTTTTTGTTTGTCTGTTGTGGGTGGGTGGGGGGAGGTGGTTCTGTTTTGGTTTTGATTTTAGAGCCGGGGTCTTCCTGTAGCCCTAGCCGGCCTGGAACTTGATATGTAGAGCAGGCTGACCTTATAGAGATCTGCCTGTCTCTGTCTCCCTAGTGCAGGGATTCAAGGGGTGCACAGCCACGCCCGGCAGCTTTCCAGCCTTTTAAGTTTGTTGCATTTTCTTGAATAACTCTCCTGAAGAAAGCAGTTGTGTATTAACTGCTAAATTTAGAAAATCTGGAGCCATGTAATCCAGTAGATGCTAGTACTTACTAGACGTACACTGAGTCAGTGCTAGCAAAGGAAAACAAAAGGCCAACATGTTTAGATTTTAATATTTCTTTTGTTTAAAAACATACTTGACTTTAGGGGCTGGAGAGATGGCTCATCAGTTAAGAATACTGGTTGTTCTCGCAGGAGACCCGGGTTCGAATCCCAGCACCCACATGGCAGCTAACGACTGTCCGTAACTTCAGTCCCAGGGGATCCCGACAGCCTCTTCTGACCTCTGTGGGCATTGCACGACACGGGTGCACTTACCTACATGCAGGCAACACGTACAATACACATAAAATAAAATTTAAAAAAACCAAAACTTGACTTTAGCTGTCCAGTTAGAATTTAAAATGGTGGAGTGCAGTTGTGAAAGGTTATAGATGATTTCTTTCATTTGTGATTCAGGTGTTGCCACTAGGAAAGTAAACTTCCATGCTCTCTTCTGCCTTCAGGGTTTTCTCACTCCGCGTTTACCTTCGGCATAGAAAGCCACATAAGTCAGTCCAGCATAAACGGTGCCCTCGTCCCACCTGCTGCGCTGATCTCAATCATCCAGAAAGGCCTGCAGTATGTGGAGGCAGAAGTCAGTATTAACGAGGTGAGTGTTGGCTACTCAGTGTCTGACCTCAGCTTCTCTGGGCTCACAAAAAGGAAGGTCATTATTCCTAATGCAGCAACCAGGCTGCCGCAGCTGTGCCTGCAGGTGCCCGGCTGTAAAGGCTTCATGAGGCTCATTTCCCCCTCTATATATACATGCTCTCTGTAGGCACTGGGAAGTTAATTAATGTGATGGCACTGTGCTGTGGAGTTCTGGGGACACGTGGACGGCGCGATTTGGAAAGCCAGCATTACTGGGGCTGTAGCTTGATTTTGGAAGCCCGTTTAAAATTGATGCTGACCTGTGGTGCTCCTGCTGATCTGAAGTTTGTGCACGAGCAGTGTTTGTCTCTGGTGTTGGCATGCTGGTGCCTGAGGCCACCCTCACTTCCCGATTCCACAGATCAACCAGAGAGCACAGCCAGACTCCTTTGCTTCCTTGCTAAGGCCTAAGCCTGGCTATTGGGAATGGGAGGAGCCGTGACAGGGATCTGTGGCTTTCTAAACGTAAACATACATTACCTTCTCTTTTCCAGAAGTGTTGCAGAGCCTTGATCTAGCTTGACAATTGACTATATGGCCAGGACTCAGAACATGGGGATTATTTTCATTTGAGAGATAAATGTGCACCTCTTTAAAATAACACATATTTATATAAAGAGTGAAAGGATTTTAACCTTTTAAAACAGCCTAGTCACCTCTCCATGTCCTCAAGGGTCAGTCCCACACTGATCAATCCCACAGTTCGCAAAATCCGCAGCTGCTCACCTGTGCTGAACAGCAAGTCTGTGTTCACTGTACAAATCATTCCTAGGTAATTTATAGGATAGCACGATGTCAATACTATGTAATTGTCCTCTGCTATTTAGAGAAGAATGACAGGAAAAGGTCTCCCCCTGCTCAGTACAGTGCCACTGATGGGCTCGAAGGCATGGGCACAGAGGGCTGACTGAGGGGCACCAGGCCTCAACATATGACTTATTCCATGTTAGTTAGTCACTGTTTCTGGAGGAATTTGGAATCTAACAACCCTCCCTCACCCAGGCTGTGTGGTACTGTCTGCTGCTTTCTTTCATCGGTGACTTACATCATTTGTGGAAGTACGAGTTCAGCGGGGCCCAGGTGAAGGGGTCCAGCCGCCTGCAGTGGCCTCTCGGATTCCCCTTCTAGCTTCCTTCCCTCTCCGAACGAAGATCTTGTCTCTTCTGTTAATGGAATGCAAGTCATTCTCAAGGTTACCTCTCATCTTTCTCTCCCCGTTTTCCAAACCCAGGATGGCACCTTGTTTGATGGCCGACCCATAGAGTCTCTGTCCCTGATAGATGCTGTTATGCCAGATGTGGTACAGACCAGACAACAAGCCTACAGAGACAAGCTTGCTCAGCAACATGCAGCAGCCGCCGCAGCTGCAGCGGCCGCCACCAACCAGCAGGGGTCGGCGAAAAATGGAGAGAACACCACAAATGGGGAGGAGAATGGAGCGCACACCATCGCAAGTGAGCGGAGAGCATTGAGAGGCTTGGAGATGCTTGGCTTGAGGGAGAGCCCCCTCCTCAGAGCAGAATGGCACCCGCGTTTGTCACTTGAGCTCACCCCACCCCCACTCCCATCCCAAAGTTCAGATTTCGTTCCTAAGGCTCCAGAAACCTAGATCACCCTGTGTTCTAAATGTTTCTGAACACTTTTTCCTACTCTTAAATGAATTCTTCATCTTCATTTGATTATTGACGTAAAGTTTGTGTTGTTGGCTGTTTGACAGACCTGGAGGCTCTGACACTGAGGTGTGACGGCAGCTTTGATGTGGTGTCAGCAGCCCCTGCTGGCCGAAACTCAGAACAGTGTGCGGGCTGCACTCAGTCCACAGCACCGTGTCAGCTGTGCATGGGTCCAACCTTTCCACCTTTTCTCTCCTTCAGCACCCTCAGCCCTTTGTAAACATGTAGAAGTACCCGCACACACTGTTAAAACTAGCGCAGCCCTGCCGTTAGCAGTTAATTTCCACCTGACGGAGACTGTTGCTTCTCACAATGCAGATAACCACACCGACATGATGGAGGTGGACGGGGATGTGGAGATCCCCCCGAACAAGGCAGTCGTGCTCCGGGGCCACGAGTCTGAAGTTTTCATCTGTGCCTGGAACCCTGTCAGCGACCTCTTGGCATCAGGGTAGGTCCTCAAAAGGGCTTCTGAGTGTTGGCCTCGGCTGGGGACCCCTAAAGTATTGACCCTGCTGAGACTAGGGTTATAGAAGTGCCTCACCGTTCAGTTCCAAAGTGCCTTCTTAAAATACCGTATGAACTGTCTTGTATTTTATTAATGCTCCATTTTCCAGGGATTTTTCTTGCTTGTTTATGGTCATTTTGCCTTCAGAAATTTTTTTCCTTGATGAAGTAATTGTAGAATTACTTGGTATGAGATTTAAAATGCAGAATTAGAAAAAATATTAGAATTTTTTTTCCTGAGAGTACTTTTTATTAAGGTGCTAAAAGTACTGCTTGGATTCTGGGATGCTTCCGAATGTCAGGGTTTAAACCACACTTGCATACTTTGAAGGTCCGGGGACTCTACAGCAAGAATCTGGAATCTCAGCGAGAACAGCACAGGTGGCCCCACACAGCTGGTGCTTAGACACTGTATACGGGAAGGAGGACAAGATGTGCCCAGCAACAAGGATGTCACCTCTCTAGATTGGAATGTGAGTCTGCGAATGAAGACATTGGGGGCTTGAACCTGAACGTCAGCTTGATGGTGTGCACAGTCTGGAAAGTAGATCTTGCTTTTGGCTTCAACATGTTCCTAGAGCCCTAATCAGAATTAAGTATTTGGGATTGTTTTGCTTTAATTGTATAAAAGGTATCGATTGGATAGCCTTCCAGTGCACTACCTGCCTCCACCCTCGATCATGTGCATCTGTGAGCACAGGTGTGGGGAGATACTGTCACCCCGTCAGTGTTCAGATTTGGGACCCCTGGTCTCAGCGAAGGGGTTTCAGGCCTTTTTGGTCCTTACAGGTAGATAAAACTGAGCTTTGAAGCCAAGGTTGAGGTCCTCTGTTCCTGGGATTTAAATGTAAAGCATTTTAATGACTGCAGATGGCTGTTCTGGGCCGTGTAATAGGAACATGTCTTTCTCTGACAGAGTGAAGGCACACTTCTAGCAACAGGGTCTTACGATGGATTTGCCAGAATATGGACTAAAGATGGTAATTGAAGCCTTTTCCTACATTGTTATTGTTCTGACCTGTGAAGTTTGTAATGTTAAAGTTTCCCCTTTTCAATTTCAGGTAATCTTGCTAGCACCTTGGGGCAGCATAAAGGCCCTATATTTGCATTGAAATGGAATAAGAAAGGGAATTTCATCCTCAGCGCTGGAGTGGATAAGGTAAGTGACCTTCTGCCAAATCCGCAAGGAGAGTGTTTGAGAACAACTTCAGTCTTTCCTGTTAATCACTTAAGTAGACCGTTAGTCCTTAGGAAATCTGGGTACCAGTTTGTGACAGCAAAATGGAAATTCCTCAGTCGTCGCTCAGCTCATTTTCCTGAACCTGGTTCGGTTTATCTTCTGTCTGTGTGACAGCTTCTCAGTTTTCTCTGGGATTTAGACCATCATGAAATGGCATCCTTCCCACACCTTGTGGGTCCCCAGTTTATCTCAACAGTGATGCCATGGGTCTGCCTGAGCCCGTCTGTTAGCCACCCTTCTGTGCTTAACTGAAGCATAAGCAGAGGGCCTTCCCAGACAGCTGCATGTGTGAGGGTTGTCTTTCTCCTTCAGGTCCTTAGGTCACCCTCTACCTTAGCTCCTCAGATCATGGAGGTTGAGATGATTCTGATTTAGGAAAGAGCAGGCCGTTAATCAATGAGGCGGTGTCAGTGGAGGGGACACGAACTGCCTCAGACTTGTTTAGTGTGCTAAAAAAAAGATGGATGGGAAGAGTTACAGACTTTGGAGGGAGGGAAAGGCCTGTGGCCGCTGCTGCCCTGGCCGTGCGTCAGTCAGGTCTTGATCTGAGCAGTATGAGATGTAAGTGGCTTGGTTTTGTTTCAGATATTTTATTTATTTTGTGTGTACAAGTGTATTGCCTGCATGTTTGTGAGTGTACCCACGTTATACAATGCCCACGGAGGTCAGAAGAGAGCATCGGATCCCCTGGTATACAGGAATTACAGGAATTAGCCACTCTGTGAGTACTGGGACAGACCCAGGTCCTATGTGAGAGCAGCTTGTGCTCTTAACCGCTGAGCATCTCTTCAGCCCTGGCTTTTTTTTTTTTTAATTAGCTGGGCTGGAGTGATGGCTCAGCAGTTAAGAACACTGGTTGTTCTTGCAGAAGACCCAGGTTTGAATCCCAGCACCCACATGGCAGCTAACAACTGCCTGTAACTCCAGTTCCAGGGGATCCAACAGCTCTTCTGTCCTCCGGGCATTGCATGGCATAGGTGCACTTACCTACATGCAGGCAATACACACATACACATAAAATAAAAATAATAAATAAAATATTTAAAACAATTTAAACTAGCTGATTTTACTGTACTAAGAATTACAACTGTTGCTGTGACACTCACATTAAATACAGGATTCCAGTAGTTTATTAAGCAATCTAATACAATGCCAGGCACTTTGTTGATGAACAGTAATTGTTATTCAAAGCAAATGGCAAAAAAATTACCGAGGAAAAGGTAGACTGCTTCATCGTCCTTTCTTCCCAAGCAGAGTATAGACAGCCTTGTGCTGGCATAAAAATGTGCTGTAGAGGGAAGTTCAGGCTTTATTCTGCCTTAATACGGTCAGGCAGCTAATTCCTGCATCCATGATGCACCCTTTAACTTCAGCACAATTAAGTTTTGTTTTCCTTTTAATCTCAGACTACAATTATTTGGGACGCGCATACTGGTGAGGCCAAGCAGCAGTTCCCCTTCCATTCAGGTAGGTTCCTGCAGTTACGCTGGGGGCCGGAGCTCTCCTCTCTTCCTCTAATTGTTGGCATCCTGTGAGAAATACCCAACAGCAATCTTGTTACTGGTCCTGTCAGTTGATAGTCCACAGTTTTCTGACGATTCCTTGTCAGATCAGCAAGTTCTCTATGAAATGTACCATAAAGTATTCTAGTCTGTGCAACTCGGGGTGGTGCTGTTTAAGGGAGGTGTTTGAATCGGAAGACCTGGGTTTGAATGTCTGTTTTCCAGTTGATAATCTTGAGAACTGAGCAAGTCAGTTAACCTTTTGAGCCTCATATTCACTATATATAAATGAGCTCATAATAGGTATTTATTGCAGGGATCAGACTGGTGTGTGCAGGAATAATTTACAAACCTACAGGTTTATGTATTGTAATTCTGCTCATGTTAGATTGGTATGTCTAAGTCAGCCCTCCTGTGTCTCTGCAGTAAGACAGCCTCTCTTGGTGTGTTGGGGCTACACTGTATGGGTTTCTTCCTGCATGGTATAGATACAGCTGTGCTCTGTGCATGCCGGGTTGCACCATCTACAGATTTCTTTCACGCATGCTGCTCAGTGCCTCGTCCCCTCTAGCCCGGAACCTGCTGTGCCTGCTCTCCCCACTCACTCTTCTCTGGGAGGTCAGGGAGGTACAGGGTCTTGCTCTTTAGCTCAGAAGAATCTCCTGCGTCAACCTTCCAGGTGCCGGGATTGTATGTGTATACCACCATGCCTGCCTTCTTACCGAGTCTCTTGTGTTCACTAACTAAATAATGTTAACTGCAACAAGGTGCCTAAAAGCTGTTAGCATTACCTGATATAGCCGTTGCTTTGGAAAGAGCTCTTGTGGCTTAAGGTTTTTGAACCAGAAGCTGACCGAGGCCCTGGTTGTCCCTGCACCTTGGTGATGCCCGGTTGTCCCCGCACCTTCGTGATGCCCGGTTGTCCCCGCACCTTCGTGATGCCCGGTTGTCCCCGCACCTTCGTGATGCCCGGTTGTCCCCGCACCTTGGTGATGCCCAGTTGTCCCCGCACCTTGGTGATGCCCGGTTGTCCCCGTACCCTTGTGATGCCCTTTCACTGAGGCGGGTCACACCTCTGCAGTGGGAGCTTGAGGCGTCTGGCATTTTGCTGTTTTGTGTTTTTTCCATTTAGTGTGACTAAACAAAGTAGGAACAAAGTGATTTTTTTCTCTAGGGTGTGAGCGATGAACCTGATGAAAGCTTCTACACTAACATGCATGGTGATGCCCAGTTGTCCCCGCACCTTGGTGATGCCCGGTTGTCCTGGTACCCTTGTGATGCCCTTTCACTGAGGCGGGTCACACCTCTGCAGTGGGAGCTTGAGGCGTCTGGCATTTTGCTGTTTTGTGTTTTTTCCATTTAGTGTGACTAAACAAAGTAGGAACAAAGTGATTTTTTTCTCTAGGGTGTGAGCGATGAACCTGATGAAAGCTTCTACACTAACATGCATTCATAGGGCAGTCTGTCTTGACTTTTGTTCTGGCTTCTAGTCCTTCCCAGGTAGAATTTTCCATGGTCTGTGCCTACGAGTATCATCACACTCGCTGGGGGTGACTGTGGTTAAAGGACGGTGTGCTCACTTGCCCAGCCACCTTGTAACTACTGGGGCTGTCCGAGGTGGTTCTCGGCACACTTTCCCAGAGTCTTGACTAGAATCTGCTGAGGGTAAACAGCCATTTGCCTGTTCCTTCTTACTATGCTTATGTGTCTGTATTGTGCTGTGACTTGGAGACCCCTGGTTCAGACATGAACCAAAAGACAAGGGAGCAGCGAGCGTGAGGAGGAAGAAGCAGAGGAGGGAGCTGAACTTCTTCAAAACAGCAAGTTTGTACTTTACCAGATTTTGTTGAGAAACAGTTGATGCATAATGAACTGTACATAATCAACTTAAAGCCTGACCTGTGTAGGCCTTGGAAGCCATCCTCCCTGTGAAGGTCAGGACTACACCTGGTCCCTCCAGGCAGTCACTGATAGTCTGTCAGCAGAAATTAGGTTACTGTAAACAGAATCTTCTGGTTCATTTTATCTTGTGCTCTAAATAATTATTTTGAGTTCTTAGGTATTGTAGCAAGTGTTTACACAGTGTGCTTCTCTACTTGGCAAAATTTGTGTTTTCATTTTGGGTTTATTGCAGATAAAACAACTATCAACACCCAGAAGCCTTTACTAATGATTGTGTATTTTCGTTTGTTTTCTGGGAAGCATTAGTTGTAGACTGATGACTGTGTTAAGAGATTGAAATCCTTTTGTAAAATGGTTTATTCTCACCAGCAATAGGCAGTGAAGCCCCTCTGTACCCTGTCCAGAGCTTGCTGTGTGGTCATGCCCTTTAGTTCTAGCCCCTTGGTAGTTGTGTGGTGGTGTCTAACTGGTTTCATTTGCCTTTCTTGTAAGAAAATAAAATGGGTGTGTACACATCTCTGTGTGTAGGTGCTTGTGTGGGTGCAGGTGTACGTGTGACCATAAGTTAAGTATCTTCCTCTGTCACTGTCCACCTCTTTGCGACTCTCACTGGTTTGGTAACGTTGGCTAGCCAGTGAGTTCCAGGCTTCTTCAGTCTCCCTCTCCCCAGTCTCCCTCTCCCCAGTGCCAGGACTACAGGCCCATGTCACCATGCACAGCACTTCAAGTAGGCTCTGCCTCCCCACAGTCCCCTGTGCTGCATGGCAAATGCTCCCAGAGCCATTTCTCCGGCCCTTAGGTTTTCATTTTTGTTTATTGGGTACAAGTCACATATTTGGTGTATAGCAAATGTTTTCTCCTAATATGTGGCTTAGCCTTGCATTTTGGGAGGGTGGTTTGATTTTCTTGACAGGGTCTCTATACAGTTCTGACTGGTCTCACATTCATGATCCTCCTGGATTATAGGCCTGCACCACCACACCCCATTCTTAATGTTGATGAATTCTGTAACTATTGGTGTGTTCTTTTATGTGCAGCTTTCAGTATTGCCCTGATACATTCTTTTCCTGTTTCCTCGTGGGGAAGCTGAGTTCATTGATTTTTGAGGTATTTGGTGCTATAAATATACCTGTACCTGTGATTACTATTTAATGGTATCCTTTTTTATGTTGTTACCTTTTATTTTTTGAGACAGGCTGTCACCATGTAGCTCAGGCTGGCCTGGAAATTGAGATTTCCCCCGCCTCAGCCTCCTGAGTGATGGGATTTACAGATGTGGACCACACAGCCATTATTTTTCATATGTGAGCGTTCATTCAGGTCAAAACAACTTTCTGACTGAATTTTTATTTGAGTCTGTGAACTATTTAGAAGTGCTGCTTGGTTTCTGAGTATTTGGGTTTTTGGGGTTTTTTGTTTTTTGTTTTTTGTTTTTCTTTTTGAGACAGGGTCTCCCTGTAGCCCCAGCTGTCCTGGAACTCACTATATAGACCAGACTGGCCTCGAACTTACAAAGATCCGCCTGCCTCTGCCTCCCAAGTGCTAGGATTAAAGGCGTGCACCACCACGCCCGGCATATTTGGATTTTTTAAAGATACCTTTCAAATATTGATTCCTAATTTAATTTTACTGCTGCTTATAAATGGTATTTAGGCCAATTCATTTTTTAACATTCAGTGTTAACATTCAAGTCTTTCATAGTCTTTACTGATTTCCTGCCTACCTGTTCCATCAATTACTGCAACAGATACTGAGCTCTCCCAGCTGTTGGCAGAGTCTCATGCTCCACCTACTCAGCCAGCCAACCTGCTGTTGGGAGCACAGGGTTTCTTCTTCTTCCCTTTTGTGTGTGTGTGTGGGGGGGGTAGTGTATGCACTGTGTGTGTGTGTGGGTGTGTGTGTGTGAGAGAGGGGGTAGTGTATGCACTGTGTGTGTGTGTGTGTGTGTGTGTGTGTGTGTGTGTGTGTGTGAAAGAGGTAGCGTATGCGCTCCGTGTGTGGGGGGGGTAGGGGGTGCACTCTGTGTTGGGGGGGAGTGTATGCACTCTGTGAGGGGGGGGGGGGTGTGTGAACTCTGCGGGTGGGGGGGAGTGTAGGCACTCTGTGCGGGGGGGTAGTGTGTGCCCTCTGTGTTGGGGGGGAGTGTATGCACTCTGTGAGGGGGGGGGGGGTGTGTGAACTCTGCGGGTGGGGGGGAGTGTAGGCACTCTGTGCGGGGGGGTAGTGTGTGCCCTCTGTGTTGGGGGGGAGTGTATGCACTCTGTGAGGGGGGGGGGGGTGTGTGAACTCTGCGGGTGGGGGGGAGTGTAGGCACTCTGTGCGGGGGGGTAGTGTGTGCCCTCTGTGTTGGGGGGGAGTGTATGCACTCTGTGAGTGGGGGGGTAGTGTGTGCACTCTGTGTTGGGGGGTAGTGTATGCACTCTGTGTGTGGGGGGGGTAGTGTGTGCACTCTGTGTGTGTGGGGTAGTGTATGCACTCTGTGTGTGGGGGGCGGTAGTGTATGCACTCATGTGTGGTGTATGCGCTGTGCGGGGCAGGCCTTTGCTGATGTCAGTTGTCATCTGTTACCTTACTCCTTTGAGACTGGGTCTCACACTGAGTCTGGAACTGTGATGATGGCCAACCAGCTGCAGCCGTCCTCCTTCTCCACCTCCCAGTGTTGGCAGTATGCTATGGTTACAAGCATGTGCACAGCCACACCTGGCGTGGTATTTGGGTGGGGGATATGAACACAGGTCTTCCTTCCTGTGAGTGTACTTACACTGAGCCTTCTCTCCAGACCCTGGAAACAAACTTGAATTTCTTTTGAAGCTTTGTCAGTTTTTGCTTAATATGTTCTGAAGTGTGTTACTGAGTATATGAATGACCCGTTGTATCATTGACACCAGTCTGCAGTACACAGGGTACCTGGACTGCTTTGCAGAGAAATCCCACCTAGACTCAGTTCTTTTTTCCTGATCTCTTTCTCTTGTGGGACTAAGGTATGTTGTCCTTGTTTTTTGTTTTTGGAATTTTTTTTTTTTAATTTTAATTTTAAAATTAAATTTGTGTGTGTGTGTGTGTGTGTGTGTGTGTGTGTGTGTGTGTGTGGCTTGCTGTGATGTACATGTGGGTGTCAGAGACCATTTTCTTGAGTTGGATCACTCCTTCCACCCTATGGGTTCCAAGTATCGAACTCAAAGTAGCAGACTTGGCAGCAAGTGCCTTTACCCACTGAGCCACCTCACCAGCTCCAAGGGGGATTTGCTTCTCTTTCTGTCTCTGATCTGGTTGGGAGTAGGGGAGGAGCTTCTGATCCCCCATCTTACCTGGAAGCCCTTTTCAGTTGAAAGACAGTTTTTTTCAAAAACTTTTAAAAACTTTATGTGTATGACTGCACTGCCTGCGTGTATGTAAGTACACCCTGAAGAACTTTGTTGGATCCCCTGGAACTGGAGTTGCAGCTGGTTGTTAGTTGCCATGTGGGTGCTGGGAACTGAACCCCGGACCCCTGCCAGACCAGCCGGTGTTCTTAACTGCTGAGCCATCTCTCCAGCCCCAAAAGATAGTTTCATTGGTTGGTGCTCCTGTAGAATTCTCAGCTGACAGGGTTTCTTCCCTCCAGTGCTTTAAAGTATCTCTCGGCCATGTCTGTTTCATGACTCTAAATCTTTATAATCTTGTGGCCATTTGTCTTTCTACTATCTGTCCTTTGAAGATTTCCTGTTTCTGGAGTTAACAGCATGACTGTGTTGTTCCTTAGTGTGGTTCTTTTCTTGGGTGTAGTTGCCGTTAGAATTTATTGAACTACTGTTGGTTCATAGTTGTGTCCAGGTCTAAAATTACTATTGTGTGTGTATGCTGTGGGTTTGGGTACGTGTCAAGGCTGGAAGACTCTGTAGAGTGGGTTTGCTACCTCCACCTGTCTGTAGGGTCTGGGGTTGACCTCATGTCTTCATGCTTGCATGACAAGCACTTAGCCGCTCTGGGCTCCCTGGACTCACAGCTTTGTATTTTCAAACAAGGAGGAATTTCATTGACACACCTACAGAAATTCCCCTTTCCTGTGTTGACCTGGACACATCCCTGGTTCTTAAGCTTGATGATTCCAGTGTCTCTGGTTTCATGGCTTTGGTTTTCAATGAGAACGTGGCTCCTGTGTCTCCATCATGGCCAGAAAGAGGTATTCCATGCTTTTTAATGACTATTTTATTACTGTACTGTATCTTTTTTCATGTGCATTTTAACACAAAGCATAAGTCGGCATGATTTATGTGCGGAGAAGGACAGAGACTGGAGAATTTGGGCTGACTGCCAGCCCAGCCAAAAAAACTATGAACTCTAGGTTCCAGGAAAAACTGTGCTGCAAAGAGAGAACAGGAGTTGAGAGGAAACAATGTTCTTGCACAGGCACACGCATATGTGTCTGCCACACACATATATCACACACACAAAAAAACAAAAATAAATTTTAAAAAAAGTTAGACTTGGTCTGCATTGTTTCATGGTATGGAGTGGGCGCCGCTGCTGGCAAGCTAAGAAGTTAGCACTGACAGCCGTCCCAGTCCTGTGTGCGGCAAGACATACTAGTTACTAGTCTTTTCTCTCAAACCCTGTAAAACTTGGAAGTTGGTTTGTGACAAGGAATTCTAATCTTTAACTCCCACCATTCCCTGTGAGACTTTTATTTGAGGAAAGGCTCTGATGGCATCCCTGAGCCTGATGGCTGGAGTAGTGGGGCTTTGCCCCCGTCTCAGTGGAACTTCCAAACTAGCCAACCAGGAAAGACTGAAATCAGCCAGTGAGGAAAAGACACAGTTCTCTTGCATTAAGAATAAAAGCCCCCTGAAGCTTCTGGGTCCAGTATGGACTTGCTGGATCTGACAGACCACTCAAGTCACCCTTTTGCAAAAGTAAAACTTGCCTTGCTCAGTTACTTCCGCTTTGTCTGAATGTTCTTTGTGTGGTATTGATGGGATCCTTGGACCTTGGATCTTTTTTTTTTTTTCCTAACAATTTGGGGCCTCGATCAGGATTCTAATTCCATCCAGGAAGAAGTTCAGAACCCTAAGATTAGGGAGAAGCGTTCACCGCCTAGTTGCTTTGCTCCAAGGTTTGGGCGTTTGGAACTTCCTGGATTGGTGATGATCCTGAGACAGGAAAGTTTCAGCAATGTAGGGGAAGGGCCCAAGGAAACACCTTGGAGGTCAGGCAACTCTGTAGACCAAGGCATGAAAAGTCATGGGGGTGACCAAGTATTGCTTTGGCAGTTGGGGCGTTCTCTGCCTAACGCTGTGCTAGACACAGCTCCCCATTTCTTCTGCTGCCTTCATGGGTTTCTTTGCCAGCAACAGCTTGTATTTAGTAAGGACAAGACCCACTTAGAGGACATGGCTTTGCATTCATAGTTGCAATGGGTGGTAAGACATGGACTCCCTTCCTTGATTTGAGACCTTTGCCTTCCTGTTTGGGGTCTTCTATCTGAAGGTACTTTCCCCTGTTCCATTTCTATGACTTAACTGGGGTCTTTTCTAAAAGAAAAGGGGTGGTTGACCACATTTAATCTGTGAGGTACATGAATCCCACCGGACTTGTATCCTGGTGGGGGGTGGGCTCATTTTATCTTGGAATTGAGCTCACTAAGGTAGCCATGTCGCTCTGTTGCCATCGTGGCTGTGATTTCACCAAGAGGGAGGCAACCATGTGATATGGTCTCCATCTTGGCTGATGACAGCATCAATATGGGGATAGCCACATGACTTGGTTGCCATCTTGAATAGTAACATTTTCAAAATGACCGTGACCCATGTCCCTTGCTGCTGTCATAATTAATCCATCCACATGGCATGATTCAAAGTGGTAAAGACCAAAAACTTAGTAATCCTACTGAGCCGTATCAGCTCATGATAATCTGGGGAGTGCCTGGACTGCAGGCTCATGTAATGAGATGTCCTATCTTCTTGCAATGTTTTTTTTTTTTTTCTCCCCCACTTTGGGCTCTTGATGAGATCATAAAAATAGAAAACCAGGAGATTGAACACAGGCTGTATTGCCTTATAAAAAGGTCAGTGGATTTTTATGTCAGGCTAAGGATGCAATACCAGACCTCCACGATGGGAGTTTAAATTTTAACATTGTTTTGACCTAATTCCAAAGGGAATTATTTTGTTTTTTGTTTTTTTTTTTTTCAGTTGATAACTTCTTTATTCTGGAAAACCAAATCAAGTTCATATTCATATAAACACTGACATTACAAAGTACAGGGAAAGACGAAGGGAGGAAGAAACAAACCTCTACAAATCCTGCTAATACTGTCTCACCCAACATGACCATAGTGCTTTGCCCTACATCCAATCACAGATAATAAACCACAAATAAAATCTTCTCTGGCAGATACATTGCTCCTCTTTGAGACGGCAGGGAAAAGGGGCCAGAAGTTGGGGTAGGAGGCTTTATTCTTTTGGCAGATCTTCTCAGTCATTATAGATATTGCTGCACTGTTAATAAAAAATATATGCTTCTCTGTAAAGCATCTAAAAAAAAATTCCAAGGATGAGATGGCTGAGGTCTCAGCTCAAGTATCTCCAAATACATTGTTGTCCATTCCCTGACTTTCCAAATGTTATTTCTTGGTTGTTTTCCAGATCAATGCCATTCTCTGTTTATGAGCTTCTATGGTACAAGCTTTTTTGTAGGGTCGGATTTCTTCAGAGCCAAATCCTGGAATCCACATATTCCACTGGCGCTCTAGATGCAACTGGACATCTTTCACCTCCAGGGTACTGGACTTGCGATGCTGAGCGAGCTGGCAGGCTGCTGTCACCACACTCTCAATAAAGTCATCAGCGATCTGCAGCAGCATCTCCTCCACATCTTCATCCAACTGCTCATTAGGGTCCACTTCTCTTACTAAGTCCTGTAATTTCTTCTTGGTCAATACCTGATTGTTTTCAGGGCTCAGGCGACCGCCTGTCCCAGGAGTGCCCGGAATCTTTACAACAGTAGTGCTATTGGCCATGGAGCCTTGTGGAGGTGTGTTGGCTGGTTCTGGTTTTATAGATGAGAAATTGGAGAGGTTGATTAGGGCTGAGGGGCCAAACTGGTTCATAATCTGCCGAGCTTTGGACTTCAGCTCATAGAGCTTATCAAGATCCTGTTTCTTCTTGGAGCTATGAGGACCAAGGCCAATCGAAGGCAGTAGCGTCTATCTCCCCATGATATGCGGAGACTGCCCCAGTGAAGCTTTCGTCTCAGCTGCCGGTCCGACTGCGCGGCCCTCCCCGAGTACTTCCGGCACCGCTCCCCCCATTTTGGGTTTTAACTTCTCATACAACATAGTTACAAGTTTTTAAAAGACACTCTTTTGGGTTTTAGACATTGTTTACATGACGTTTACCTGTTTTTAAAGAGATTATTTGGGATTTTAACTTTTTATATTGCATATTTGCTGATTTCTATGTGACTATTTCAATTCTTACATTGTTTTGTATAATATATTTGTCAGGTTCTAAAGGGAAAGAGCATTCTGAGATCATCTCACCCCAAGCTCTCTAGGTGGCTTTGTTTTCTGTGTTCCTTAGTCTCTAGAATATGGGTACTCAATCCAACGTCATGTGTGATAAATTATTACATACTCATTTTTAATTCAGACAGACAGATAGTCCTCTTTAAAAGAATTCACCCTGAGAGCTATCAGGCTTGCCTTTTATGTGATTTTTTTTTTAATGTTTTTTTAAAAAATATGGACCAAAAAAAAAAGAGAAGGAAAGAACATTTAAGGAAATTGAGATTCAGCCCATGAGTGATCAGATTAGGAAACCTTCCCTAACTTACACAGTCATGAGAAGTCATTAGAAGTTGGCTGACTTTCCTGATACATGGGACTGGTGTTTGCTCCAGAGGTTTTACGGAGAGTGGGTCCTTCATAGACAGGGTGAGATTAACCAAGCAACATGCAGGAAGAATCCTGATGGTCACAGGCCATTAGAGAGTCACATCGGTACAAGGAATAATATGAACAAACTCCCCCTTCTTTAGGGTCACTAAAAAAAGGGGAGAGACTACAGGTCCCCAGGCCCACATTGATGAAATAGGCCGTGACTAGTCCAATAGGTGCCACCTCCGCTCATGGTCACTCATGGAAAAGGGACAAGAGGATCCAGAGGACGCTCTGGAGAGGGGGGTGGGGAAGATTTGGGAAGTGTTCCAAAATCTTTTCTTTTGTTACCTCATTCATATTGTCCATTCCTGTTAAGAAGCACAGGCTGACTAATTGTGGATATAAGCTTTTATAAAGGCATCTAGTCACCTCAAGTATAGCCAAGAGGAATCTCGGGTTTGATGCTGGTTAAAGGCAAATGCTTGTGTCTGCCTGATCCTGCTTGATCACGGGTGCTTGCTGCCACACACCTATGGCTTCATAGAGTTTAGAAACATCAGGTGACGTCTTCAAATGTTCTGTCTCTTTTTCACTCTCTGTTCCTAACCAGCAGATGAGAAGACTCATCTAGACAAACATATATAAACTATTTGCAACAAAGGTAGTACTACTTATCTTGTGATACAAAGATGTCTGTAGCAAAAACAGCTCATGTGGGTGCTCTATTTTGTTGTCACAATAAGAAAAGTAACTATCGACTAATAGAAATGTATAACGAATACCAAGATTTGCTAAATATTAGGACAGATTTTTTTTTAAAAAAAGCAATTTATAGTCCATGAAGAAAAATCCCCAGTCAGAAACCCCAGCATCAATTTTCCTTGATTGATTATGCTGGAGGTTTCGAACATCAATTTGATAGTGTTTTGCTGTGTTCCTGTTGCCTTTATCTACTATCCACTCATTCAAAACCTAAAACAGTTTTGGTACACCACTCTCTAAACTACATAAAGAATATTTTTAACTGTCTTGTGTTTTCTATAAGATTTACCTGGGAACTTATAAAGCCACAATGTATACACAAAAACATTATCTTATGTAATTCTTTTAGGAAGATAAGGGTGCACAGCACTCTTCAGAGCCAAAGAACTGCCATCTCCATGATGTCAGCTATGCAAAAGATCGTCACAATTGAGCTTGTTATCATTTTCCTTCATTAAAGAGGGGTAAGCAGGGTCATTGGACCCTCACCTGAGTAGCCAGCCATTCTACCCAGCCAGCTGTTTGTAATTGTGCCATAATCACATCTGGTTTCCTGGATTTGGGAAGGACTAACATACATACTCTAGGGAAGGGAAGAGTGGAGGAGATTGACACATGAGGTTTTGGGGAATCAACATCAATACTGGTGCAACTGCTCTCAGGTCACCCGTACACCTCAGTAACCCCTCACCTGTCTGTAAGTAAACTCATTGGTTTCTGAGGATGAACTTCAGTGTAATCAAACATTGGTTTGACACTAGAACCCTAGAAAGGGGATAAACGTTGCTTAATGTCCCCAGAATTCTCTCAGCAGATGGGAAATTTGTTAATGTTACATCTCACGGTGTTAAGGAAGGAAAGATGTTAGAAGGATGTGGAGATGGAGACATTTCATTAAGAAGGATTTACGTGTGGAGATAGATTATGGTGACTGATATTTCCAGAATAGAAAGAAAAAAAATGAAAAAATATGCAAGTGATAAAGAGCTGAGTAGGTTTGTTACATATGAAACAAAGTAATTTACAAATAGTCATAATGTAGCCAACTAGTTTAAAAAACTAGTGAAGTTTGTTTGGTTTTTGTTCAAGCTTTACATATCACATGGTAATTAGTTAGACAAGTCAGGTACTTTTAACCTTCTTAGGGTGTTAAATAATCATACTTTGAAGCCTATACTAATGTGGTCAGAGGGACTTAAAGGGACAAATTTTTGCCCTTTGCCCTTCAAGGTCAACTAAGTCCCAGGGGACTATGGGGCATCTCTTGAAATGTTCTGTAACTGTAGTATCTGTCCTCTTGTTCAGGGAGGCCTTGGAGGCCCCACCAGATGGACTTGAACCAGTGTCCAGTCTACAAAGAGGAGGGTCAGCAGAGGGAAGTGTTCCCTCCGTGCTTCTTCCTGAAGCTACGTCATAGCAGGGCCATTGACTTATCCTCACATAAATGGAATAATTGGTAAAAGACTAAAGGAGCTATAGGCTCCACCCAAGCCCAAGTGACCCTGAGGATTAGATCCTCAACTGACCTTGGAAAAAAAAAAAGCCAACTGCATAGTCTTAAATAACCAACAGGAAAGTATAAAAATAATAAAGGAATAAAGAGATTGGTATACTTCTTTACAATTCCAGGGGATTGCCCTTCTTAGGCATGAGGCTTAAGTTCATATAAGATGCTATTTAGACAATTATTTCTCACTAATGATTTTGTTCTCAATAAGAAAATACTGCTCAGATGTTAAGACGTCAAAGCTTGGCCCAGTTCAACACTGCAGTGCCACCTATAGCCAAAGAGACAAGAAATGATGGCTAAATTTCTTCTCTCTCCCAGTCTAGAAGTCATTTGGGACAGTACTCACACTGTGATCCTAGCCACTCCAGCAACTATCAGAGTCCCTGAAAGCAAACCCAAGTTCATCACTCTGTGGAGTCCAGCCTTGGAAGCCAAAAGGAAAATAAGGAGAACCCAATGGATGGAGGCTCTTGTGAGGCCATCAAGAAATTCTCCCGGTTCCCCAGAACTAGGCCTTTCTCCTCCCTCAAGTCTCTTTTGTAGGCATCAGTTAAAGACTTCCTTTCTTTCCTTTATTCTGCAATTATACAAATAAAGCCACTGATGCACTTTTGGAGCTCAACAAAGTCCTTGGGAGAATAGGTTAGGATTAGACATGATTCGGGCTGAAAAAGATGAGGTTTATGTAATTCTGGGAGAGCCAGGTTCTGTATCATCCCCAATCACACAACTCCAAATGGAACTCTTAAGACCGTAAGGCACTTTATAAAGAACTGAAAGTTTGGGAACTCTCTGGCCTCCTGGAGGAGTGGTTTGGAAAATGGGAGAGATCTTTCAGGCTCTGTGCTAGCTTCCTTGGTAATAGTGATGGGTGTCCTGATCCTGAATTATACCATGTGTTAGGGATTAACTCAGGCTTATTGAGTCACACTGTTACCAAATGAATGTCCCTTCCCTATAGCAATCTCTTATTCCAAGATATCACAGATAGAATCAATGCCTTAATGAGTTTGAAGAAAAGAGTGTTTAAGAAGAGGAGCGATTCATAAGAAACATTAGATATTAGCGTTTTCCTTCAAACTGTAAAACTTAGAACTTGGTTTTTGACAAGGAATTCAATCTTTTAATGACACCACACCCTGTAAGACTTTTGTTGTATTCCTAAGCCTGATGGCCCAGGTGGTGGAGCTCTTCTCTCTTTGTACTGATTCTTTTAAACTAGCCAACTGGGAAGAACTTCGAGTTCAGACCACCAGTGGGGAAAAGACACAGTTCTCTTGCATTGGGGATAAAAGCCCCCAAGCTTCCGGGTCCTGTGTGCACTTGCTGGAGCTGACTGAGCACGCAGGTCACCCTTTTGCAAATGTAAAATCTGCCTTGCTGAGTTACTTTTGCTTTGTCTGAGTGTTCTTTGTGCAATATTGATGGGGTCCTTGGACCTAGAATTTGTATTTCTAACAGTGTGAACCCAGATCAGAGCAGGAGCTTGCTTACCTCTGTTGGAATCAGCATTACACTCCTCAGGACTACCAGACTAGGATGAGAAATGTGTTTTCCTATTTAAGTTAGAAATATGTATGAAGAAATCTGCTCATGCCAGCCCGGAAGCAGTTTGCTAAACAGTCATTTCTTCGGCTTAAAAAAAAACTGAGGTACTATATGAGAAAGGAACAGAGAGAGACAGGGAAAGAGAAAGAAGACAGGTGTAGAGGAGAGAACAAATCCGAGACGTGGTAGAAAATACTAAAACGAGAAATGCATTATGCAGTTTAAGTAGTCACGTTTCAGAAAAATTCACTTTTTATATTTTAATGGACCTTAATGCTTAAAAACAATCTGCCATTGAATTGTCAAAGAAAAAATACTGTTTCTTTTTTCGTAGGTTTATTCTTTGCAGAAATCATGACATTTATATGTATTAATAGAAATACTTGAGAATAGAAGAGAATTTTTCATGTCAGCTCTTAAACCTGGGAAAATTAGCCTTTCTTGGCTTCTTCACATGTGAAATATGATGGTGACAGACCTCCCCCGTATCGGGTCCACTTTGGCTTAGGTTGGCATCCTGAAGAACTTCCTGCCGGGCAGACTCTGCGGCCGTGTTTGTGCCCGCCGTGTTCCCACAGCACATTCCTCTCCCGTCCAGCACCCTCACCACCCTCTCTTGGCTGCAGCTCGTCTTCTGACCCTGAATTAGGCTTCTGTGCAGTCAGCTCATCTGTGGACCCTCAAGCTCTGATGGGTTTTGTCAGACATTTGGCTTGAATTCTTCATATATATATATGATATTTACTTACTTTCTAAATAAGATCAAAATTCCAGCCTCTTCCCTCTCCCATTCCTACTTCTTAACACTAGAGCAGATTTTTAGTAAATGAATAGGTATTTTAAAAAATATTTAATGTTAGCACTGTAATGTCTGCTGACTCAAGGTTTAGACAGGAAGGCAGACTACACTTGGTAATCCAAGAAAGTGTATTCAGCTGATGACTTGTAGCAGTTCTGGGCAGAGGGACGGTCTGGGAGGTCACCCAGGCAGGGAGGGGAGCGCTGTGGGGAGATGGCAGGTGCTCTGCCGGCCTAGTGGGGACCACAGAGGAGAGGTGCCTAGAGAAGGCCCAGGTGACAGGGCAGCTGGAGCAGAGTCTTCCTTCACCTGAAGCCCTCTAGAGATCAGGCAGCAAAAGAGCCTGGAAGGGCAGCTTGTGAGTGAATCTGAAGGCGGGCGGAGACAATGGGACGTGCATTGTGGGTGAATTGTATGCTGACAGTCACGTGCTGCTGACCTAAGTGAGTGCAGTCACCACTAATCCTGCAGGTTGTGTCTCCAGGAAATCAGACCAAACCAAATCAGCGTGAAGGGGTTAAGGAAACTTCCATGAGAAGCAAGCAACTACACACACACACACACCCCACCCCCCATCCCCATCTCTGGGGGCAACAGACTTCCTGCCGAGGTTCAGAAAGTGACTTTCTGGTTTAGTCCATAAAATTTTGTGTCATACTGAGCTTATGCCTAAATTTCCTGTGGTTTTTTTTTTTCTGTGAAAGCCTCTCCTGCCACCCATCACCACTGGTGACTGATGTGTGACAGCCTCTCTTAGCCTTCTATGAGCCTGGCGTTCTGGGCTCTGGTTGCTTAACTCTTACCCTAGTCGGTGTTGCTAGTTGGAGAGCTTTGCCTTTTGCAGAAAGAACAAGAAATGTGTGGTGCTGTCTGAGCTGAGGTCAGACGGACTGTTAAATCCCAGCCAACTTTCAGGCTTTTGAGCTTCTAACTTTAGTGATGTTTAAGAGTCATTTGATTTTTGTGGTTGGTTTGTTTGTTTTTCTTTCAAGACATGGTCTCCCTGTAGCTCTCAGTTGGACTGGAACTCACCATGTAGACCAGGCTGACTTTGAACTCACAGAGGTCAGCTTGCTCCTGCCTCCCAAGTACTGGGACTAAAGGTGTGTTCCACCATGCTTGGCTTCATTTGATTATTTTAAGGAGCCATTTAACAAAAATTACCTAGAAGGAAATTAATATGCCAATTATGGCGTGTCTGTCTCTGCGGTACCTTAAGGGCAGTAGCTCTGACTCACAGTCTGACTTGTAATTTGCAGCATTCTTTTGACACGCAGCATCTAGCTTCATCTTGCCAGCATCCCATGAACTGAGTAGAGCTAAGAGGTGGGGTGTTATCCCCAGGCTCCACAGGGAGGTCATTGTGATAGACAAGTGACTTGCTTGGTCTAAAATAATTGTAGTGGTGCTCGAACCAAGGCTTTTGTCCATCAAAGACTCAGAATATTAGAAATGAAAAGGACTGACCATCAGGTTTGACTTTATCATTGTAACAAGAGAGAAGCCCAGATTGGAGCTGTAATTCATAGAACAAGTTCTGACAGCGATCACTCAGCTGAAACTTATCTATGTTTGCAACATTTAGATAGCTTTACTTTTCAGGTGTTTCTTTGTATCTTACAAAGTATACTGTAAAGTGTTTAAGTACTGCTTCTTGCTAAAGAGCCAAGTGCCCGCTGCAGACTCAGCCTTTGCTTCTTTCCAGCCCCGGCACTGGACGTGGACTGGCAGACCAACAACGCCTTCGCATCGTGCAGCACGGACATGTGCATTCATGTCTGCAAACTAGGACAAGACAGACCCATCAAAACATTCCAGGGACACACGGTAAGAAGTCTTCTCCCTTCTATGCAGCAGTTATAAGCAAGAAATATTTCAGAGTAGTGTGTGAAGTATGTATATTTGTTATCCAGTAGCAGCTTATTTATAAGGAAAATGTAAACATTCACTGTCGTTTTTAGAACGAAGTAAACGCTATCAAATGGGACCCGACTGGCAACCTCCTGGCCTCCTGCTCTGATGACATGACCTTGAAGGTAATCCAGTTGGTGGGAGTCATGGAGTGGGGTGTCCCCTGTGTGTCTGGCTGCTCTGGGCCTTTTAAGACTGTTTAGAATATCCCTCTTGAATATGTAAGCCTGGATGGTGATTTGTTTAGCTTTTACGTTCCTGCGTAGTTGTTCCTTGACTTCTGACTGTGACTGGTTCCGTACTGGGAAGACACTGGGGACAATGGCCCGTCTTTTCTTTCATTTAGATCTGGAGCATGAAGCAGGACAACTGTGTCCACGACTTGCAAGCACACAACAAAGAGATTTACACGATTAAGTGGAGTCCAACAGGACCAGGGACAAGTAATCCCAACGCCAACCTTATGCTCGCAAGGTGACGTTTCCACTTCACTTTTCCTCCTGACTCTTCTACAAGTAAAAACTTTGGATAAATATGACAGAAAACAGGAAAGTACCTTTCAGGGAATATACTTTTAGTGGGGAACCTTTAAACATGTAATTTCAGTATTTCGGGTCTTAATGTTTTTTATATCTAGAGATAAGTGACTGATGATATAAAATATTGATGAAACTTAGCATTAGGCCTGGCTTGTTGGCACATGCTTGTAATCCTCAGCACTAGGCCAGCTTGGCTAATATCCCAAGTCTGAGGTCAGCCTATGCTGTATAGTGAGACCCTTTTCTATCAGTAAAAAAATTCAGATTATTGAGGCATAGTATGTAAAATTTCATCAGCATCTTTATAAAATGCAGTCAATTTGATGTTCAAAACCATGTATCAGTAGCAGGGACTGTTAAAGGTACTTTGAACTTAACCCGTTTGTGTTTCCCCCGTCCAGGGATTGGGGGTGGGGGGGTTATGCCTTCAATTTGTTTTTTCTGCCTAGCTTCCCATTTCCAGAACACTCTGATTTCAGCAGGGTAGAGCCATCAGCTCTTGGGTTGGCAGAGTGTGGGGTGAGGCCCAGAGAGAACTTGAGTACTTAGAAAATTGCTTCCTTTCCCTTTGCAGTGCATCCTTCGATTCTACAGTTCGGTTATGGGATGTAGACCGAGGGATTTGCATCCATACTTTGACAAAACACCAAGAGCCCGTGTACAGCGTGGCATTCAGTCCCGATGGCAGATACCTGGCAAGTGGCTCTTTTGACAAATGTGTGCACATTTGGAACACACAGGTATGTCCGCTGCCCTTGGTGAACAGAAGCATTTACCTCTTCATTCATGTTCGGTTTTTCCTCATGTGGCACTGGTTTAATTCTTAGTTTCAAAATTTAAGAACACTTGGGGGAGGGGCAAGGTTATAGCTAGACAAAGGTCCAAACTGAAGTTACATTTTTATGTGCAGACAAGAATTTAGAAAAAGATTGCAATTTCTGGGCTTATTAATGATTTTTACTCTTGAATAGCATTGCGGATATAGTAAGATTCACTTTAGATTTATTTCGATTTTCCTTTCTAAAACATCTGTGAAGGAGCTTGGTAAGAGGTGGTGCAGGACAAGCTCACTTGGCTCTGAGTCGAGCAGCAGCTGTCCTGCCTTCCTGGGCGTCGGGCTGCAGAGCCTTTCCCAGTTCCCAGAGGTGGAGAGACCACCTGATGCAGCCACTTTCTGACTTAGGGTTTTCGGTGTTGAGTTCTGTTTCTTTAATACCCGCCGTGGTAGACAGTCCCCTTTGTTCCCCAGGTTCCTCAACATGCTATTGGGAGCCGTTTTCCTTGCCATCGCAGATCTCCACCATAGCTAATTCCAGAGTTAATTGCCACAGATCATTGTTTCAAGTGTTCCTTGTATTAAGTTACACATTCTTACTGGTCAGAAACACTCAGACATTACATAAAGGTCTGCTCTGAGGGGTTTTGGCCATCTGTGGCTTCATGCACAGTGGTGCCAGACCACTGACGTCTCCTTCATCCGCACCGAGTTCCGCTCCCGTCCGTCCGTCCGTCCGTCCGTCCGTCCATCCGTCCGTCCGTCTGGCAACGGAGGTGCGAGTCCTGCCTCCTGGTCCAGCTTCGGAGTGGAAGGCGGTGTCAGCGAGGTTCCAGGATTCATTTCATGAGAATGCGTTTGCGTCCCTTCACCCACTTCCGGTTTAGGCCACACACTTCGGTTTAGGCTGGTTTCTATGCATTCTCTTTTAACTTTGTTTTGCTTTTAGAAAAATTCGCTTTCAGAGCTGTGGGGCGTCGCTGGAGCTCCCCGACTCGCTTCCCTGGCCCTCCTGCTCCCCCAGCCCTCTCTTTTCCATGGCACATGGTTCTGTTATCCCCCATGAAGACCTCTTGAATCCCACCGTAGTCCATCCCCTCACTAGTTCCATGACCCACACCCTCCCATACACACGTACAATTAAAATCTGAGATTCTCATATGAGAGAAAACATTCAGTATTTGTCTTGAGTCTTATTTTGGTTGACAGAATTTCTAATTCCACCCATTTTCCTCAAAGTGTCATGGTTTCACTTCTTTGAGGATGCATCAAGTTCTGTTGTGAGTATGTAACCCATTTTCCTCCTGTGTTGATGACCTTCTGGGCTAGCACCATTTCTTGGCTCTCATGGACCATGGAGCACCAAGCTCTGATGTGCAGTATTTACTACTGGGATGGCTTAGAGTCCTTCAGGCTGGTTCTGAAGTACTATGGTAGGCTCGGGTTATGTGGTTTGTTCATCTTGTGTTTTTAGAAGCCTCCATATTGATCTCCATGGCACTTGGCTAACTGTGCACTCGCACCAGCGTGATCTCCCCACAGCCTCGCCAGCCTGGGCCGCCGTGTTGGAACCACTGACAGCCACTCCCAGTGGGCGAGGTGGAAGCTCAGAGTAATTTTAGTTTGCATTTCCCTCTTGGCTAAGGGTGTCAAAAACTTAAAATACTTACTGGCCATTTGTATTTCTTTTGAGAACTGCCTATTCTTTAATGCGGTGATTTATTTGGTGCTTAGTTTTGTAGTATTTGGTGGTGGTTTGTTGGTTTTTGGTTTTGGGGGTTTTTGGGTTTTGGGGGGTTTTTTTGTTTTGTTTTGTTTTGTTTTTTTTGTCTGTCTTTGGTCTAGTTTGAAACAGGGTCTCCCTGAAGTCACAGCTGGTTTGGAACTCACTATGTAGACCAGGCTGGTCTGGAAGTCCAAAGTGCCTCCCAAGTGCTGGGACTGAAGGTGTGCACCCCCTCCCATTTATCTTTAGATCTTCTGCCAGCAGTTGTCACTCTGCTGCTAGTTTTATGGCTGCACAGGAGTTTCGATTTCATGTCATCTTACTGTCAGTTCTCGGAGCTACTTCCTGTGCTGTTGGGGTGCTTTTGGATCATGTCCTTCACGTTTTCAACTAGATTATTAGTGTTTAGGGCTTTTTGACAAGGGTCTCACTTTATAGCTATGTTAGCCTTGAACCTGTGATTCACCTGCCCCTGCCTTCTGAGTGCTGAAATTAGCAGCCTGTTCCACCATGCCTGGCCTTGATTATTGTTCTTTTTAAAGTAAAGATACTCTTCCTTCATGTCTTACCATGTACGCTCTCCCCTCATCTCCATTTTCTCTCTTTATGAACGTATGCCGAATGAACTCTGTACCTGGGAGACACACATTTAAACCATTGCCAAATGTTAGCTTTCTGTTCCTAGAAGGACATTAATTTCTGCATCCAGTCCAGCTTTGAAACTGAACAGTGGAATATTTGTGAAAGTGAATCTGAATGTAAATAATATAGTTACGACAATACAAATCTCCAGGTTTGCTTGATGGGGACATTTTGCCACATTTCTTGCAGATCTTCTGTTCCAGCTTGGATTTCAATTGGATCATTGCTGTTTATTGACACATCTAAAATCTTTTCCACCTGGCTTTGCCTTGTCCTTCCTGATGGCTGCAGTGGTCCTGAGGTGCTGTCATTCCCGCAGTAGATGGTGTATGTCACTGCTTTGTGTGGTAAAATTGGACAGGAGTGATCTGGTGTTGTGTGAGTTTTCTGAAGCTTTGTATTTTGCAGCATCTAACAGTGCTTGGTTTTTAATCATGAGTTTATAAAGGTCTAAAATAGGGGCTGCTTTGACTACTCCAGAGCATCCAGTGAGCAGTTTGTTTTGTTATTGATGAGCTTAGAAGTATTCTCGGCATTTTCGAACCCAGATGAATGAAACCTTCTAATGCTTCTGTGGACATATTCATGTATGCATGCGTATCTGTTTATGTATTTCTGCAGTCTTCTGTGTGAATCAGAGGCCACTGTGGGTCATGGCATGCCTGTGCTCAGCAGCTGTCTAGTGAGCTTGATTTCCATTGGGCTTTCCATTTTCCTCTGTCCTCAGTTCTCATCTGCTCCACAGGTTTCCAATTTGATGGATGAAATCCTGTTTAGTTGTTCTTTCTTGATTGTAGTTGAGATGAAATGTCTTTTAAAATGCTTATTAGTGCTTTGCTTTTAGAGCAGAGCGCAGCTCTCGGGATTGGCTGGCTAGCGGTCTTCGTGTGCTGTGAACGCTCTTCCATCTTGGTCGTGTGTGTGTGGTTTCAGATCTTTGTTTTTCCACCTTATTCATGGAGAATTTATACTATCAGTCTCTTAGGTTAGTTTCAAATTATCATTCTTTGTTTTATAAATTTTTAAACATTTATTTTTATTTTATATGGGTCAGTGTTTTGCCTGTATGTGTGTAAATGCACTGTGTAGCTGCAGTGTCCAGAGGTCAGAGGAGGACACAGATCCTCTGAAACTGAAGTGGCGGATGGTTGTTAGCCACCATGTGGGTGCTGGGAACCAAACTGGGGTCCTCAGAGAGCAGCTGGTGCTCCTAACCACCGAGCTTCTCTCCAGCCCCATCCCACCTTGTTTTGATTGGTGATTTTGTAGTTTCACACTCTTTGTACGGATGTCACCGAGGTCTTCCATTTTTTTCATAGTGTTTAAACTTTGTGATCTTTCTGGAGTTAGGTTTCTGTGTGTAGACCAGGCTGGCCTGGAACTCAGAAAGATCCACCTGCCTCTGCCTCTCAAGTACTGAGATTAAAGGTGTGTGCCACCACGCCCGGCCCAGAATGCCATCTTTACATGTGGGTAGGCGCTATCTTCACAGCATCCGGTGCCGCCCTAACACTGCTCATATTCTGAGTTCGTTAATCAAGCTATGGTTGGCTCTTCCCCCCTCTCCAAGGCAGAAAGTTGAACTGAGCACTTGTTCATGCTACGCAAGCGCTCTACCATTGAGCAGAATCACCAGCCACCAGTTCTCTTCCTTCCATTGGTGGATTTGTGGATCCCTGAATCAAGAGCCCACTCTTAATAATTCTTGACACTCCACATCTTGATCTGCCATTTTTTAAGAATTGATTTTCTGGGCTTGGCACTTTGCCATCAGTGATGAGTGTTCATTCTGGGTTTGTGTTTGGTTCCCTTCAGTTTACAAGCAAACTTATTACCTTGGGTTTTATTACCTATAAACATGCTGTATCCATTTGTCTACCTCTTAGTTCTTCAATAAACTTTTATGATTTCTCTAAAAAATTTTCTTATCCTTTATTCTTATTTTATTCTGAGATGCCTTACGGTTTTACATTTGCTTTGTATGGATGTCACCTTTTTTTGGTGGGGAGATCTTTTTGAGACAGGGTTTCCCTGTAGCTCCAGCTGCCTGGAACTCACTCTGTAGACCAGGCTGGTCTCGAACTCACAGAGATCTGCCTGCCTCTGCCTCCCAAGTGCTGGGATTAAAGGCGTGTGCCAACACGCCCAGCTTGAATGTCATCTTTTAAGATACTCCTTTTTCTTGTTACTTGGAATGTTTTCAGGTGCTCTGGGTCTGTTGTGACAGAATTGGTGTATAAGGGCACGTGGCCAGCCATCCACTGCAGTAATGATCCTCGTTTTATCTTTCGGTTTAAGTGGTAGGTGGTATCTGGTTGTGGGTGCAGGATCAGCTGTCTTCTGACCTGTGTAGACAGGGGCTTTTTCCTTGCTCATATAGCATGTCCATGTCACCTGAGCATGTGACACATGAATGCTGTGTCTTGTTCCAACATTCAGATCTGGTGATGTGACTCACTGACTTACTACCACAGTCCTGCCTCGTAGTCGTGCTGTTTTGGTTCCTTATGGCCTAGTTAACTCAGAGATTGCTACATGCCTTTTTTTCTTTTTTTCTTTTTTTTTTTTTTGGTCTTTTTGAGACGGTCTCCCTGTAGCCCCAGCTCTCCTGGAACTCACTATGTAGACCAAGCTGGCCTCGAACTCACAGAGATCTGCCTGCCTCTGCCTCCCAAGTGCTGGGACTAAAGGCATGCGCCACCACGCCCGGCGCTACATGCTTTTAAAGAAGGTTGCCTGCTGGCTTATCTTCACCCCACATTCATCCCTAGCTGCCACCTATGGGTCTGCTGCAGGGTTTGCCCTCTAGCCCCCAGTCACCTTCCATCCTGTTGGCTGCTCCTGTCTCCTCATTAACTACAGATACCCTGGGTCTACTGCATCAGCTCCACTGCCTCCATCTATGGAAACTTTTAGGAAGGAGGTAAAGATACCAAGTTGTCTTCCTCTCTGATCAGCATCACTGTCCATCTGTGGTTTGTGCACCGTGTCAGGCTGAATTTGAAGTGGAAGACAATGGTGGACCAGTGGGGCCTGGGTGGATGGGTGGTGGGAAAGGTCTGCAGGGATGTGGCTTGCTGCCTTTTGTTCTGAAGGACATCTGCTGTCCCCGGCTTGACTCCTCAGGCCGTCACAGAGCTACAGGGACTGTCTGCTTTGTCAGAGCAGAGCACCTCCAGGGTTTCCAGCTGCCACAGAACCTCCGCCTTCTGTCTCGGCTTCACAGAGAGGCCTTTCTGGGCTGACTCACTTTTCAGTGGTAGCTGAATTATTTTTGTTTTCATCGAAGGAATCAAAGAGTTACACTGATAATTCAAGTCAATGAGATTATTAGTGTTTCTGGCTGTGTTTTTAAAGAACTTTTGTGACATCCCTCAGAACACCTGCATCTTCTGTTCTGTTAGCCTTTTTTGACTGTCCCTGGCCCGTGCACTGTGCTGTCTTGGTACTACTCAGGACACGTGCAGAGAAGAACAGACGTGCACAGGGGTGTCCTCGTTAGCTGCTGTGCTTCCTCGTTGTGGTACTTTGTTTGTGTCAGCACAACTCTTAGGCTCCTCAGAAATAATGAAGGTATTCCATATGGGCACCGAGTGTTCACCTGTAGCTGCTGTGTCAGGGAAGCCAAAAGTGTTTAGTCGGAATGGTCACCAGCACTGGAAAAGCAGCCTGTGCTGATGATGCTTTGAGAACTATTTGTTTCCTGTTTGTGGAGGGGCCACCACAGGCTTCTCTGGCATTTGAGAACCTGTCCATGTTTTGGCATAAAGCAAGTCCCACCTCTAATTCTTAGAAATAATGCATCATAATATTTCTGTATCTATCATTAACTGTCTATCATCTATCTATTGTCTATCATCTATCGTCTATTTTGAGACAGAATCTCTTTGCAGCCCCAGTGGGCCTGGAATTCACTGTGTGGACAAGGCTGGCCTCAGTCTTGCAGAGATCTGCCTGCCTCTGCCATATTTCCATTCATTCTCAGACTTACTCTGTTCACAAGTTCTGTTATCCCTGGCAGTTTATCTTGAGCCTCTAGTCCTGAGTTTTCATTGAGTCTTACAGGAATTATCCAGTAGCCTCTTAAGTGGATGGATCTTTGCACCCCTTCTTGCTCGCTCTCTTTCTTTCTTTCTTTCTTTCTTTCTTTCTTTCTTTCTTTCTTTCTTTCTCTCTCTCTCTCCCTCTCCCTCCCTCCCTTTCTATCTTCCTCTCTCTCTCTCCCCTCTTTTTTTCTTTGAAAAAGGTCATCTTTTATTTATTTATTTATTTATTTACTTATTTTTATACCCACTTCCCAGATAGCACCCTCCCCTAGCCTCCCTCCCCGACTAGATCCCTTATACTCTGATATCCCTGCTACTGTCTGCTGTGTTGTCGGCACCCTCAGCAGTTCCACACTACTTGTCCATCTGGTAAATCTAGTCAGCCTATCTAGAGGTCTTTGTTTTAGGAGGGTTTTGTACATGAATACAATGCATATTGATCATACTCAACCCCCCCCAGTACCTTTTGTCCCCTCCCACTGAGCCCCTTCTCCTTCCCAGCTACTCCCCCTTCCCAGCTACTCCCCCTTCCCAGCCACTCCCCTCCACTTTCATGTCGTTGGGGTGGGGCAGTGAGTGTACCTAGAGTGCCTTACAGGAGCATTGGTGAGGGCTTATTTAGACGTACATGAGCAACTTACCAGCTGCTACACTGCTGGAAGAAAACGTCTCCCCCCTTCCCCAGCAACATTAACTATGGACAGATCCTCGAGGACAGTGGGGCCTCTCAAGCCCCCTCCCCACATGACAGTCTTTTTATCTCACAGTGTGGATGTGTTTTCTGACATGATTCTTAGGGATCTGTTTCCTGTTTCAGACAGGTGCTCTAGTCCACAGCTACAGGGGAACAGGTGGGATTTTTGAAGTTTGCTGGAATGCAGCAGGGGACAAAGTTGGAGCCAGTGCATCGGATGGTTCCGTGAGTATCCCCGTTCTCAGAGGAGGGGTCGTTTGGGAATATGACTGTCCTGGTAGTGACACAATCATATTCTTTGCAAATTAAAATTTTTAAGTTAAGGTATACCCTCCCACACCCCCCAGGCTTCGTGTTGGACAAGTGCTTTGCATTTGAATAAGGAGTGTGACTCCATGACCAGCTAATGAGCAGTTGCTTCTAATGTAAATCCCCATCTGTAGAATTAAATGTAGTGAAGTATCAATCCAGGTGACTGGAATTTTTACCACTCTTGTCCGACCTCCTATGGAGGAGTGTTGGAGGTTGGGGACCAGAGACCGAAGAAGTCATTTCTTGGCGGGGGGGGGGGGGGGGGGGGGGGGACATACAGTATATGTGTGTTACTTAAAAAATAATTTAAGTTCTTGAAAACGTGCTTGCAGAGATCTGAAGTCAGGGAAGGGCTTTCGGGGAAACTGCACCACGTGACACCCACTGTTGTCCATTAAGATCACAGTTAGGAACCAGTATCCTTTGTGAGTTTCTGTCCTCTTTTTGGTGAATAGAGATCAACCCTCAAAAATCCTAGCTGTGTTTCTTCCATCCTGCCAGCAGTTTAGATAGTCCACCTTCCTCTGCTTAGCACTCGTGTTCATGATTCTGCGGCTTTGGTTTCATGAACTTGCACCTTGGAGACAGATTCTAAATTATACTCTACACAAATTAAGCTTGGAGTGTGAGCTGGAGTTATGGACACAGTGGCTGACTGTCCTTTCTTACAGGTTTGTGTACTAGACCTTCGGAAATAGTGCTACTAGTTGGAAGCCATGGACCGACTATGAATGTGTACATAGCCAAAATGACTGTCCCTGACCCACGTACTGCTATAGTCCCACTCGAACCATGGCCAGTCCACTGCAGCCAAATCTAAGAGATCTACACATGCAGTGTATATAAACACAACTGTACCCCGAAGATGACAGAGTTTCATCACAGCTTGTGAATTCTGTTCACCAAGTGCTGGAATCTAATCTGCTGTGCCCCTAAATAGCATTTAGAAGTTTGGATATGAAAAACAGAAGAGAAGAAAACACGTGTTGTGGGAGCAGGCGACACATGCGGTTGGGATACTGATGACAGCCTGGTCTCCCTTCGAATCAGCAGACACCATGGATTATCTTCTTTTTTCCCTCCGTAGTGAGCAGTTTGTATGTACAGAGAAAATGGACTTACAAAAACTTGCAGTAGTTTGTTCTCGCTTTCCAAGTTTGTTTTTGATTTAGAGTTCGGATGCATGAAGTAAGGGAGTGAATCAGTTTCTTGCTTTTATTTTTCTCCTTTTAAACAACAACAAAAAAATCTTAAAAATATTTTTAATGCATTCTTTTGAAAAGGTAGAAGTTTGGTACATTTTATGGCTCCCAGAGCATATGTTCAATTGGTGCACAGGGGGTGGGAATTAGGGAAACACGTGGCTTTGGTCACATCAATCTGCAGACACGTCAGCAAAGCACCAGCTCTTGTTCTCTGGGCTTTTTCTTTTTTTTTTTTCCCCTTTTTTGGTGATGTGGCTTGAATATAATTTCTTTTGGAGGACATATTTCTGCCAATTAAAGACTAGAAGGGCACAAAATGGTTTTGTTTTATATTACCATAGAGAAGATACATTTAAAAAAAAATCTTCTGATGCTCTGTAGCCATAAACTAAATTATGGTTAAAATGTGCACTATTGTGAAAAGGAGCAAAGTAGTCTGGGGCTTTTTTTTTTTTGTTTGTCTGTCTGTTTGTTTTGCTTTGTTTTTTAAGAGATTAAAATGTTTCTGGATAAGGATTAGCTTCTCCAAGTGTCCGTCATTCTGTGTAGAAGCTTAAATATGTAACCAGACTCCAGTATTAAAAATCTCTCATGTTATTTTTCTTTCTACAAAGCAAGATAACAATACATAACACTGCCATCACATGGCAACATGTTTGCTACCCCTTAGTTTTTAAAACAACCTTTAAAAGACTTGCTTTCGAGGTGTTTTTGAAAAGCAGTGATTCGGCATTTAGGGGAAAACTGTAACTGCAGCGACCCTGCTCCAGCTCTGCATCTGTGGCCTGGGCTGCACTGTTTCCGATACACAGAGATGTAAGCTGCTGTTCTTTTTCCAGTAATCACTACTGTGCCGTGTCTTTTACTCTGTTCATATCAGATATTTTCTTAAAGATATAGATACCCAGTCAGATCTCTTGTGCTCATGCAGCTAAAAGTAGAATCTCCCTGAGGCCGTGTTTGGGTGAGTGGCCAGCAGGATTGTCCGTTCTGAAGAGAACAGTTGTCAAGTTCATATCTTTTCATTTTTAATTAAGAAATTGCTTATTATTGAGCTCAGCAAATTTATAACACTATTTCTGTCACTAGCTATTTTGAGGCCTTTTACCACTAAAATCTTCCCCTGCATTCTGAGTGGAAGCAGATTGAACCCAGGCACTGCAGCTCTGATTTTTCAGCACCTGTACTTTTGTTTGTTTGTTTGTTTTCAATTATATATATATATTATATATGTTATATAATATATATATGTATTATATAATATCAGCCTTGATTGAAGCAAGTCCTAATTTCACTAAGGTAGGGTAGTATTTGCTTCTGGTAACGAGAGAATAAACACACTGCATCTCACTATCCTTGTCCTGTGTGCCCCGGTTCCTGTGAGTGGGGACTGTGATACTGTAATAATACTATTAAAATTTACATCCAGAGCGGCAGTCACCATGATGACTTTGTGCCAGCTGTTTCGGGGTTTGGGGTCACCTCGGAGATACTGAGAACTCACCCCATGACTTATATCAGAAGCCTGGAGTGCTGAGCGTCTGGCACAGACGGTCTTCCTCCTGTCGCTGGTCCGCACCCGTGGACCTCTGTTGTTTAAAAAAATCTAAGAAAAATAAAAAAAATCTGTGCAATAACTTTTAAATGTGTTCCCCAGGAATAGACACAAACGTTCTGAGTGTACCTGAGCTGCAGTTTCCTTGAGTAATGAATTTGTCAATTGCACTGAATTTAAACCTGAGAGTCGGAGGTGATTGTTGATAGTACTTTTGTATTTTGATATGGACATTTGATTCATTTGCATAGACATTGAGATTCTTCCCAACTGATTAAAAGACAGTCACAAGTTTCTGCAGTGTAGCTGTCAAGTGGGCAGCTGTGTCTTATGATATTGTCACGTGTCCTGTTGAGGTGTTTGTGTCTGTTTGCTCATTTGGTCCCCCCGCCTCAGTTCTTTAGCTCTTTTATTTCAGTATACTGGCCGTGATAGGACGTGTAAGAGAATAGCAACGCAGAGCTTTATTCTGGAGTCTCGGGTCTTTTCCACGCAGACTGGCTGCAGGTGTCTGTAGGGTGGTTCTTCACAAACGGAGAACTGTTGGCTTAGCTGCTGTTCGTCGCCTGCTGACGTGCCACGATGCTGCTCCACAGCCCCCATACCACTGTCTCCACCTGAGCAGTCAGTGAGGACAGGAGCCCACGTTTCCCAGCATGCACAGCTCTATCTCGGGGGCTCTTTCTTTCCCTCTTGCTTTTTCCTGAGAACTTATTCCTGAAGATCCACTGGATCCCGTAGGCTTTTGGCACCCATCGTAGATCGTTGTTTTATGTGCTACTGTAAGAAATGTAATCATAAGAAGGGGGAGGAAACTTGAATGCCACGTGATTAAAGAGCAGCTGCCACTCTTAACAGGCAGGAGGGAGTCTGGTCCTCTCTGTGTGGGAGATCAGGGCATAGATTTCCTCCATCCCATTTCATGATCAGGTCATACCCTTGACTTGTGGATGACTTCAGGAGTGGTAACTGATAATGTCCGAATAGGTCTTAGAGTGTAGCAAATTCTGTTTTAATGAGTTGTTCTCTAGGTAAGTATGTCTTAGGGTCAAACACCTTTTACAGATACTGAAAGTGCCTCCTTTTGTGGTGTAGAAAACAAATTATGGTGCAAAAAGTCATCACCAGATTGAATCTCATGGTTTTTTGCTTTTTGACATAAAAAATGTCAAGAGACAGGCCAAAGATTTGTACTTTCCACTTATAAAACACTCCTTTTTTCCTTAAAATTCTTTCTTGTCAAATTAGATTTAATGAGAGAGTACTATTTTTAAGGAGCTATCTGTTTATGTAGAATGATTCTGTTAGAATATTGTAGGCTATAAATGAGGACTAGGGGCCTGCAGTGACCTGCAGAGGCCTGGGCATTTTTGCCATTTAAAGGAATCACAGATGAGCACGCTTCTGCACACACCTGACAAGCCTGACAGGACACACGTGGGAGAATACACGGATGCAGTGCTGCTTTTTACTCTTTAAGACCATTTTCATTTTCGTAAGCACATCACACATTTCCTCAAAACCTGGAAACTCCCGTGCTGAGAGCAGCATCTGCCCTGCACCTGGTGAGTCCGTCAGTTTCCTCAGAATCCCTGCTCCGTGGACCAACATTGTGGCATGCCAGGAACAGCCAACACCTGAGGGCGCAGCAGCCTACAGAGACCCTGGGGTGGTTTTTGTTTGTTTTTGGTCCTCCCCCCCACTTCTCTGAATCAGCAGGGAGGGAAGGGGAGGTGTGAACTCCTACCAGTATAGCTCTGAAGTGTCAGGTTCACTACCTGTTTTTTAAAAACATGATCCTAGTTAAACAGAAGAGAGGAAGCGTTTAGTTCTTTGAGACACTGATTTAGAAACTCCATCGTGTCTTCTGTCTGGTTCTAAGCTGTCAGTAGAATTCTTTACTTCCACCCTTTCTGCAGCCATGTTGGAGCAGGGGTGGTTAACTAGGCATCTTTTTCCTGGCAAGCGGTTTCATGTTTTCTTTGGAATTCGGGATAAGTTCAAGGAAGTATTCTGCATGTTTTATCTATCTGGTGTGCTTTTCCATCTCGTCACAAACCACCAGGCAGGCTGTGCTGCCGTCCTTCAGGACTGAAGCGGCTTCTTCTCTCCTGACTTTGACATTGTAGCTCTATATAATGTTCTCATTTTGGTTTTGGCAAATCCTTTGGGTCTAATTCTGTGAGCCTACCTATAGCACTGGATGAAAATGTCTGCATCTTTTCTTTAGTTATCCAGTAACTTTAAAGGTGTTGTACAAGTGTAAACCAGCCCATGACAATTTTTTGTACATGTTAAAGAACTTTTGTTGTTCACTTTCCATGATGGTTTATAAGGATGACTGATAAGATGTCTCTGCTCTCCTGGACCATGTCAATGATACTCACGATGTACTTTGGTTCCACATCACAGTGATTTGTCCCCACTGACCTTTGGCCCTTCCCAGGCACAGTTTTTGTGTGTTGTTGCAGTTCTCCCCTTGCGTTGTATTGCTTTGACAACTGTAATTTGAATCAGATCTGAAAGAGGTCCAGAATAAAATATATTTTGATATTATGTTGGCTGTGTACATATATAAAACGTTTGATATCTATGTGGTTTGTATAGACTATTGAGTCAAGAGAGAGGGATGGTGTTTCTTGTTTACAATCTCCTGTTTACATTTCAATTGTTCAATTGTTTTTATTCCCCCAGTGTTCACTGTAGCATAAATGGTTTTTCTCCAAGTCTTCCTGACAGAACCTGCCTGTTCTAGCCCTTACTGCTGTCTCCAGTGAACACAGCTGCCATGGGAACCACTGTTTTCATAAACACTATTTCCGAGATGTATACTTCAAAGGAAGCCCAGAGATGAATTAAAGTTTTTGCTATTTTATTACTTCTTGCAGGAGATAAGCTTTTTTAAAACGAAGGGATTATTTTCTATTTTTATTAAATAACAGAGCATCTAATCAGCAAATAGATAATGACTCCTGAGTGATCTTGAAAACTTGGTATTGTATTTAGAGGACTTCTCACATAGGCTAAAGAGACCTGGTTCATTTGTTAGCACGCAGTTGAGCATAGGACACCGACCTTCCAGGGCAGGAGGTTCGACTCACAGGAGCCAGTCACAACCTCTCCATCCTTGGCTAGTCACGTTACCGCACCCACACTTAGGAAAACTGCAAGGTGCCCTTCAGGTTTGATCAGGCCCTACGCCTCTGTAGTTAGTTACATCAGAGACTTTTTACAAAGAATTGAGCACGTTCATTTTCTTGGTTGTCTTCTCCAGTCGTCCACGTTTCTTTCCCATTTCCTTGGTAGGAACAGAGACAGGCAGAGCCTTGTCATGCTGGACTAGAGATCAGCCACTGCAGTTGCAAAAATTAACAACCTTCCGTTTCTGCTTATTTCATAAGCTGAAATAAATTAGGCAGTCATTGAAGGGATTACTTTTAATTTCATAGTCCTACACCATGGATTAGATTTCTCACCTAGTATAATATGTAGCTGATTAAAGTTTACCGAATTTATATATATACATATGTGTGTATGTGTGTGTATATATATATATATATACACACACACACACACACACACTCATTTGAAAATACAGTGGAGGAAAAGCCATTCTGGGCGGTGTTTTGTGGTGCTTTTCTCTGCTGTACGGAAGCTCTGTCAACCATGAACTGTTAATCCTGTGTTCCTTCCTGCATGCCTGTCGTCCACGGATGCTTAATTGTCCTAACTTGTAATATTTTTGTATTAAATTTTTTAGGAGTTCCTTGTAATTTCTTTATAATTTAAAATATATTAAACACAAAGCGTTTAGTAAAGTACAGATGACAATTACTAATGTTTCTTGTTTGTCGGGTTTGTGCTGTCAGTTGGGAAGGAAAGTTCTTAAGAAGTAGGACCAGGGCACTAGAGAGTTGGCTCAGTGGTTAAGAGCACTGACTACTCTTGTAGAGGACCCGGGTTGGATTCCCATCACCCACATCACAGCTAACAACTGTCCTAACTTCAGTTCCAGGAGATCTGAAGCACTCTTCTGATCCCCGTGGGCTTTGCACAACACGGGTTCACCTACCTATATGCAGGCAGTACACTCATACACGTAAAATAATACATAAAATATTTTTTTAAAGAAAGAATTAAGACCAATGGGGTGAAGTTGACACTGGGGGGAAAAATCAGTTACTTGTTTTTTTAAAAACAGCATATTGATATGGTGTCTGGGCAGACAGCCCTACGGATGCCACCTTCCGGCCAGGACAGGCGTGGGCTGGGCAGCACCACTGGGAAAGGGAGACCCAGGAGGTCCATAGTGCTGGCTGGACTTGCTCAAATGAGACACCTGGTGATGCTGCTAGACTCTCCTATACTCAGTTTAGGAAACAGAAAAAAAGCAAAGCCCTGCCTGCAGTCCTCCAGACCTGTTCTTCATCCGCCTATTCACGTAGACTGCCAGCTTAGTCATCCGACTCTGTCTCAGTCACACAAGGAAGAACAGCAAGGATAGGAGGAGGGGAAGAACAAACTCCTGCACGTTCGGCATGCATGTCACCGAGACCATGAAGTTACCAAATTACACTTAGTATGAGAGTGTACCCATGAACCAGGTGTAGTGCACACCTGTAACACCAGCATTTGAGAGGGATGCAGGAGGATGGGGAGTTCAAGGCCACCCAGCCACTGCGAGTCCAGCCTAGGCTACCTGAGTATGTCTCCCCAACACCATTTGAAGGAAGAAAAAGGGACCTGTGTAGACTTAGTCTTGATACTGTCAGCTGGATTGGTTAAAATAATTAATGTGCAGTAAACAGCCTTGACACTGGGCACGTGGTGTTGAAAGTAAAGACTGATAACCAAGAGTAACAGGTATGATAATTTTAAGAAAAAGTCAACCTAGAGTGTGCATTAAAGTTCTTTTTAAAATACCTGGCCCTCCCCCGACCTATTGGTTAATACAATAAGTGCTGTCACAATACTGTCTGCCAGGGGTGATGGGGGGGAGGGTGTTGTCATTATTGGTCATGAGTGTATACATTTGAAGAAATTCAAATACAGGGTGTAAAGGACAGACACCAAGCCTTGACCAGTCTTTAGTGGTATCCAGATTATAAATTGATGTGTGCTTCAAAACATTTTAGTCCCTGCAGAGACTGACCTTGCAGGAGAGACATGGAGAGGAGGCCGTGTGGGCAGAGGACACGTCATGCCAGACTTGAGTTATGCCTCTGTTTTCCCTTCTCTCACATCAGGACCCCTGAAGACAGACTTCGGGGGTCACTGGATCTTTGGATCCTTCTTCCAGTGTGGTCATGTTAAATCCTACTTTTCTGCTTTTTGCTATTTAAGAAAACATTAACAGTGTATACTTCTTAAATTTTTAATTTTATTGCTTCAGTACACAAGACAACTTTATGCCTCTAGAGCAGGTGTGTAGACGACTCCTATTTTCATTTGGGAGGGAGGACCCATTTGGTTATTGTGATAACGAGCCAATCAGTGAATTCAGCTCTCTATCAGAATCAGGTGGAATTCAGCATCTTTATCCTTTCTGTTCCTCTCAGGATGCTTGGGAACAGCAATTGCTTTCTTAATTAAATGGTAGCCATCCTTGGGAACATCAGGAGCAAGTCCTTTGGACTTAAGGATTCTTAGTTTTATTGCCAGTCACAAAATGACTTGTGCAGCAGCACCATGTGAGCCCCTCAGGATCACACTGATTTGTGAGGACTTTCTTGACCAGTTTGTAAATCTTTTCCTTCACATCATCAGATGTCAGCTTCAGCCACGTGGGGACACTGCCGTTGTAGGGCAGAGCTGACTGGGACAGGCACTTCCTGGGGGCGTGCGTGCCAGCCATGATGGGGGCTGTGTGGCAGCAAAGAGCACACTGTACACTTTAAAACAGGAGATTTTAATTTCCGTGGGTATCAGAGCCTCACCTTCATATGGGCTCCCAGGTGGCTTTGGCCCTGTCACCCACCGGCCCCTCACCCGGCCTCGGTGTCTGTTTGGGATGCATCTGAACTCCATTACCAGCTGTCGGACCTGTTTCCTCGGCTCTGAAGTTGGGCTAGCAATAGTTATGACCTCATAGATTACTTATGAAGGTTAAGTTTTGGGTCTATTTGAGGCCCTTAGAGAACGCCACCTGGGTGTGTGAGGCAGACTGCACGCTGCCATTTTTTTTTCAATTATTTTAATTTTATGTGTTATGTGTGTATTGCCTGCATGTAGGTAAGTATGCCCGTGTCGTGCAGTGCCCACAGAGGATAGAAGAGGCTGTCGGATCCCCTGGAACTGGAGTTACAGACAGTTGTTAGCTGCCATGTGGGTGCTGGGATTCGAACCCAGGTCTTCTGCAAGAACAGCCAGTGTTCTTAACAGCTGAGCCATCTCTCCAGCCCCTAAACACTGCCATTTTTAATAATTATTTACTGTGTGCACATGTGGCACACACGATTCTGAGGAGTCAGTTCTCACCTCCCACTGTGTTCCTGCCTCTGCACTGTGTACTCCAAGGTAGCTGGAACGCAGACTTTCAGCTGATTCTCCTGTCTCTGCTTCCCATCTCCCCATAGGAGTGCTAGGGTTACAGGTGGGTGCCGCCACATCTGCCTTTCCATGTGGCCTCCAGGATCAAACTTGGGTCGTCAGGCTTGGCTTCATGCAGCAAGTGTTTTTTTTTGGGGGGGGTGTTTTTGAGACAGGGTATCTCTGTAGCCCCAGCTGTCCTGGAACTCTATGTAGACCAGGCTGGCCTCGAACTCACAGAGATCTGCCTGCCTCTGCCTCCCGAGTACTGGGATTAAAGCAGTGCGCCACCACACCCAGTAAGTGTTTTTATGTGCTGAGCCACCTCCCTGGTCCCGATGCACCATTTAGATCTGTCGTGGCCACATTGTATCATACACTAAAGTTTGCAGCCTCCATGCAGCCCCTTCAGGGACTGGTATTACAAACTTGTGCAGAAAACAAAATTGGCTTTAATTCCCATGAACATCCTGGCTTGGAGTCACTTCAAAGAGTCTGTCAAGATCAGTGCCCACATTCCCTCAGCCACTTGGTGCTACCGAGCCTCACTGCGAAAGGGGTCAGGGATTTGTAGGAGGAAGAGCTCTTGGGAAAATATTTTGTTTCACTCTGTAGCTACAGGAGAGGAAAAGGTTAATAAATGATAATTGTGGGTAAGAGAAGACGGCCTTTTTAAAAATAGCGTTTATCATTAAATGCTAAAAATACGACTAAAATTTTATTAAACATGAAAATTTTTTTTCAAAGAATTTGTGTGTGTGTGTGTGTGTGTGTGTGTGTGTGTGTGTGTGTGTGTGTTTAAAATCTAACTGTAGGCCCCATGGAATTCTCCAGACTTTGTTCAGACAGCATCTTGCTAGCCCAAATTGGCCTCAAACTTGAGATCCTCCTTCCTCTGCATGCACGGTAGGTGGGGTTACAGGCATGAGCCATTACGGCAGCCCCTTGCCTGACTTTCTGGAAGCCATACACTGCGTTAAAAGATGTGGAGTCATTTCTCTGATTCCTTCAAAGCCGTTTTAACTCGG